AAGGTATCTGTAGTCACAATCTTGTAACCGTTTACTTCAACAGTCACTTTTTTCCATGTTTCGGAGAGAATTACGAAATCAAAAGAATTAATCATATTTTTACAATCCAAATTTTGCAATTTTTCCCCTAATAATGTCGACGATAGCCCATTAATGTTCCAAGCGAAAAAAGATAATTTGCTGGGGAAACTTAAGGACCCTGGCATATTGTATCAGACTTAGTACCTGAAGAAAAGAAAGCTTAAATCAGATATCCCGGCAAACTAGCTAACAACTAGTATTGAAAGTTGTGGGTTATGTATAAGATATTATACAAGGGTCTTAAAAAATTGGATTAAAGATACCAGTTCCTTTGGGATTTCAACTGCCGGGACTTTTCCAACAGCACAGTCGTTTTGGAGAGGAACAGAAGGAATCGGTCCCACTGCCGTGAGACGGTGAGAAGCTCTGTACATTGTAGTGTTGCAGCGGAAAGTTCTGTTGCTGTTGCGGTGCTCGCGGAATGTTGTAGGTGTTGTGACCGTTTTTAACAGCATTACTATAAGAGGCATCACCCGAGGAAGTTGTATATGGGAAACGGGAAGGTAAAGGTTGTTGCTGCCGTGAAGTTTGGTGGACTTGGCTGTGTATGTTCCTAACACCATTGCTGGAGGGAGGGTAGCCTTCCGAAGGGCTAGTGTGAAACGTGTGCGACGAAGAGAGTGAGGATCGGTACAATTGGCTGGAGTTGGCGCGAGGTGGTTTTCCTCTACCACGAATGGTTGCTTTTAAGTTTGCTGCGAACAAACCAAGGTGTCTTTTTTTAAGATGTTTTCTGTCATGCAACAGTTCAGTTCCCTTGGAGTAGATATTTTCATGATTGACTAGATGGACGTTTGGTAGTTTTGAGCAGCGGTCAATAAGGTTTGTGTTTATTTTGGATAGAGTATGCAGGGGAATGTCAGTTCGCGGCAAGAGAGTTGAATAGACGATTTTGCTCTTTGGGAACTTTGTAGATGCTTGAGTGATTAATACAGATATATCAGAGATGAAGTCGTCTATTGGCGTGGTTGTAGTAAGATCATTTGTTCCGGTGTGGATTATGATTAATTGAGGATGTCCAGCCGATTCTTTACCAATTTCATCTTGTAAAATAGCCCTTGCGTGTTCAATTTTGGGACATCTAAAGAATGTGAAATCTTGTGTTGGCTGAAAAAGCTTTCTTTTGTCGATAAATTTTCCATTCGAATCGCACAGAAAAACGGCTTTATTGTTTACAGATGCTTGGATTGGAGGTGGCGTAATGTCTTGTGGAGTAGGTGGAGTCATATTTTCTGTGTTTGTCTCCGGGTCAATTTCTTGCTGTGTGTTGGATAAGCTGTCAGATGTGTCACAATTCTGGAGCAGCGAAAACCTGTTTTTCGTGGGAATATTTACTGTAAGCTTTTGAGCTGTGATGGGTAGTCGAGATGCCTCATAGTCCGTGTTTTTTTGTTCGCTGTCAGTGGTGTTTTCGGAGCAAGAAGACTCGGGTTGTGAGGAAGGGCTGGGGGGGTCAGGTTCCTTCGAGTTTTGCCAAAGCGCTGTCATTTGTTCTTTAAGGAAATGAATTTCTGTCATCAGATTATTTTGTGATTCTTGCAGGGCCTGATTTGCTTTGTCAATTTGTACGTGTTTCTTGTGGAGGATCTGGTTTTCACTTTGCAATTTTTTAATGATGCTTGATTGTTGAGAGACTATTTTTTGGAGTGATGTAATCTGCGAGGAAAAATCATTGAGTAGATCGTCAGATGATTGTTTTTGTAGCTTAATTAAGTGATCTTGTTTAACGGTTTTGTCTTTTAGCTGTTCCAAATCCCCGGTAGTGGTCATATGAAATTCTGTAAAATCTGCCTCTAGCTGCCCGAGTGTGTCTCGCATGGATGAGATTGTCTTTAAACGGGTTGGCGAGATTGTTAGTGTTTCAGTTGGCGATAAAGCTTCCGGTTTGGTTGTTGAGGGAAGTTCGGCGTCCAAATTATTTGATGATGGGATGTCATCATCTCTGACAAATGTTATGAAATTCGGAAAAAAGTTTTGAAGCGAGGCTCCAAAGAGAGAAACATCTCCAACTGAAGAGAGTGAAGAGAGAGGTTGAAGATCGCTGAGAGTGTTGACAATTTTCAGAATCACCGGAAATTCGAATTTGCTCCATTCATCATATTTTTTCCCTTGCACGAGGATCCTCCCAGTTGTACCAAAAACTGTAATGGTTACCAATTTTTCTTCGCCAGTGGATGTATTCATTGAAAGATGAATACAGATTTTATCGCACTTCGAGGTTGAGCTTGGGTTGTCTTGCTCTTCCCATATCACAGTATAATCGGTTCCATTTCCGGTTATTTCATAATAGCGAAATTGGAAAGCTACAATCCATAATAACAGGCGATCTTCAGATGTCGAGAAAGCAAGGCATCTAGCTGAAGGTTTATAGATAGAAAGATCGATGGCTTCAAAAGGAGCGGCCTTTGATTTGGCTGTAGGTTGATGGAACTTGTCCACTATATATCTATTTAGATCCTTGCTTGGGTAAATAGCTCTCACGTGGGACGATTTGTTTTCGCTTTTTTCATTGTTTACCACCAATGGATCTTCGTCCAAAACACAACTTTCGGTTTCTTGTTGCATTTGTTGAACAGATGTAGTTAGCTCGTTGACCAGGATATCAGAAGGAAGCAAAAAATATCATTTCTTGCCTCTCATGATAAAAACACATGCGTTCACTCAAATGTCAATGAAGTCCAAAATGTCAAATGAAGTTCAAAAGTGATATGTGTTCCCCCACCTAGGAAAAACGTATCGCTAGTGATATGTGTTCCTCCACCTGGGAAGCACGTATCCCTAGTGATATGTGTTCCCTCAGCTGGGAAACACGTATACCTTGTGATATGTGTTCCTCTACCGGGGAAAAATGTATCCCTAGTGATATGTGTTCCCCCACCGGGGAAACACGTATCCCTAGTGATATGTGTTCTCCCACATGGGAAACACGTATCCCTAGGATATGTGTTCCCCCACCTGGGAAACACGTATCCCTAGTGATATGTGTTCCCCCAACTGGCAAACACGTATCCCTAGTGATATGTGTTCCTCCACCTGGGAAACACGTATCCCTAGTGATATGTGTTTCCCCACCTCGGAAACACATATGTGTTCCTTCACCGGGGAAATACGTATCCCTAGTGATGTGTTCCTCCACCAAAGAAACACGTTTCCCTAGTGATATGTGTTCCCCCACCGGGGAAACACGTATCCCTAGTGGTATGTGTTCTCCCACATGGGAAACACGTATCCCTAGTGATATGCGTTCCCCCTCCTGGGAAACACGTATCCCTAGTGATATGTGTTCCCCCACCAGGGAAACACGTATCCCTGGTGATATGTGTTCCTCCACTGGGGAAACACGTATCCCTAGTGATATATGTTCCCCCACCTAGGAAACACGTATCCCTAGTGATATGTGTTCCCCCATCTAGGAAACACGTATCCCTAGTGATATGTGTTCCCCCACCTGGGAAACACGTATCCCTAGTGATATGTGTTCCTCCACCGGGGAAACACGTATCCCTAGTGATATGTGTTCCCCCTCCTGGGAAACACGTATCCCTAGTGATATGTGTTCCCTCACCTGGGAAACACGCATCCCTAGTGATATGTGTTCCCCCACCTGGGAAACACGTATCCCTAGTGATATGTGTTCCCCCTTCTGGGAAACATGTATCACTAGGGATACGTGTTTCCCAGGTGGGGGAACACATATCACTAGCGATACGTGTTTTCCATGTGGGGGAACACATATCACCAGAGATATGTGTTTCCTAGATGGGGGAACACATATCACTAGGGATACGTGTTGTCCAGGTTGGGGAACACATATCGCTAGGGATATGTGTTTCCCCACATAGGAAAAATGTATCCGTAGTGATATTCGTTTCTCCACCTGGGAAACACGTATCTCTAGTGATATGTATTGCCCTACCTGGGAAACAGATATCTCTAGTGATATGTGTTCCGCTACCTAGGAAAGACATATCACTACTGATATGTGTTTCTCGACCTGGGAAACACATATCGCTAGTGATATGGGTTCCCCTACCTGGGAAACACATATCCTTTAGTGAAATGTGTTACCTTTCCTGTGAAACACAACCGTAGTGCTATGTGTTCCCAAAGCTGTGAAACACATATTCCTTGTTATCTGTGTTCCCCTACCTGCACAATGCATACCCATAGTGATATGTTTTTCCCTACCCGGGAAATACAAATCCCTGGTGACATGAAATTGAGCTATAGGAGAACACAAACACAGCCTGCTATATGGACAAAATGTATTTTTTCTTCGATTTAATTATAATGCAACTTTTATTGCCTGCATGTTGTCTGTTGTGACCTTAATTGTCATGGCTACACTAACAATAATAATACTAATAATATCATTATAAACATAGCGCCGGGACATGTTGCCTGGCAATTTTGCCTTGAAAGTTACAAAATTCACTTTGCTTTGGTTAGAAATATTTTAAAATCACAAAATACATTAATTACATGTAGGGCTGATCGGCAGGCTTGTTGATCGCTTTACTAATTAAATTTAATTTTTAATTAAATTTAATTAATTAATTTTTAAAATTAAATCATTGTGTTAAACTTTGGTTTCTTTTCATGTTTTTTTGGCACTTTTAACTGCTAAAAATTGGTGAACAAAAATAAACTAATACAATATCTCTGTGATTTATAATAGTAAATGGCAGTCAGTGCCCCACAATATGTTTTTTGTGATAAATCAAAAACTATATGTAGTACATAATTACATAGGTCAAAATATCACATGGCTTCAGAAGCAAAATAGTTTGACTGTATTGACACTTAAATAAAAAATATCTCAAAAATATCCTTTCAAAAGTCTTTAAACACAACAATAATATAACAAATCCAAGCACTGGATTGATATAATTATGTACTACATAGATACAATTTATGTAGTAGTTGTCAGACTCCTTCAGCAAGAACAATCCTGAAAGATGAACAAAGATGAAAATATTACTCTGTTGAAAACAAGTTTAAATTTATTCTAAATCACACAACCCCTTTGTAATTTCTCATTGTGAAAACTGATTGGTAAAAATAAATGTCCCAATGGGTAAGGGCATGATACATTGTCACTATCTCCCTTCTGCTTTCTACAAGAATTTCCTTATTTTCCTTTATGCTATTTTTTTTCTGCTGCAATGTGAAACTATGTAAAGCTGGGAACACCTGTTTCACAAGGAACCTTAATTTTTTCTGGTAATGTTTATAATGACACATTTGTCACAACAAGCCCATGTTTTTTTCTGTAAATTTAGATCAAACTTTTAATGTAAGAATACAGGGTGTCCCAAAAGTCCGTTCCTCTACTTTATAGGTCTGTACTGAACGTAACTTACGATTGTACTCGTGTAACAAACCATTTAACAAAACAAAAGTTGTCTATTTCAGGTCTAATAAAATGTCATATATTTGTTGTGCCATCTTTTTATTGGAATATTCATGTTTTGCATTTTCCCGCCAAATATTTATCGTATTTTGTGTGACCCTGAATTGCTCGCAATCTCTCCTTGCTTTTGTAATTTTATATCATGAAAGATGAACCCTGTTAATGCTAAAAAACTCAGCTACTTGAGAGCCCAAGCAGGCATACTTAGATCTACTGGCTTATCAGTAATGGGAAATTGCTGAAAAGCTGAAAAAATCAGAAGGTTGGGTAGTGAAATGGTCATTAAGAAATGACGGTTTTGAAGACAAGAAAAGAACAGGAAGACTGAAACTCCTTAACGAGGCAGCTGAAAGAATTTTGAAAAAAGCCAAAAAATATAAAAGGGGAAACTTGACCAGGCAGCTCTCACAACATTAGCAAGCGAAGGCCATGTTGGGGAAAAATACACCATCTGGAGGTTTATGAAAAGTGAAGGTTGGAGACCACTGAGATGGCAAAAGAAACCAGCTCTGCTCGCAGCGAAGCAATGTGCAGCTCAACTGAAATTTGCTAAGCAGTACAAAAACCTCACTGCAGAAGAATGAGATGATTTTCCTTTTTTGGACGAATGTCCTAAATATTTGTTTCAGCTGCCCAATCCCAAAAATGATACAGTTTGGGGTTCACTGAAGAGCCAAGTTCCTCCAGCATATCAAGTTAAAAAAGCTCAAAATGGATCATATGGGGTAGAATGACAGGCCATGGTCTCAATGGGATACATTTTTTAACCCAAGGACAACCTTTGACTGCCGAATACTACATCAACATGTTAGAGAAAGAAGTGAATGAAACAACAGACAAGCGAAAATTGTTCAGTGCTAATCGCCATATGACGTTTGTCGAAGACGGGGCCCCAGCACACGTAGCCAAGGCAAACCAAGCATGGTGCAAAAAAACTTGCCAAATTTTACAGAGAAAACAAGCTGGCCCCCAAATTCCCCAGATTTCAACCCTGTGGAGAATCTTTGGAGCACAATGGATGAAGTTGTCAATAAAAAACCAACTCTTAAGACCATGAAGGATTCGAAAAGATGGCTCAAACAAGCCTGGAAGAAAATCCCGCTCTCCACACTACATGACTTACCCCACTCCATGCCACAATGGCTACAGAATGTGATAACAAACAAAGGAGCTAGGACATGCCAGATATTGACTTTCTGAATACATGCATGTACTCAATAAAGCAAAAAACATCTTTAAGAAATGCCATGTAGAAGTGTAGTTTCAATCAAAAGTTATGGCGCATGAAATATTGAAGAGGAACAAACTTTTCGGACACCCTGTAGATTAAGCTATTACATGTATTATGTAGTATAATTCGTGTTCAGAGACTCAGATGTTGGAGCCTTAAAAGGCTTTATCATTCACTCTGTTGAAGGCATTCTTCTAATTTCACTACTCCAACACAACCCCCTAGGCAATAAAAATGTAGAAAAATGTTTAGAATGAAATTTGGTTATATGGTGCACTGTTTCATTCACTTGTATTTTTAAAGTTCAGTATGAAAAAGACAAGTTTACATTACCCATTCTTTTCTGCTAGTTCACCAAAAAGCATTGTTGTTGGTTCAAGGAGTTCTTTTTGTTTTTCTTCATTAGTCCCAGGTTTTATCTTGCCTCGCACCATTCTTTCATTCTCCTAATAAGTCACAAAAAAATAATAATTATACCGTGGAAACAGTATACCATATTAACCCGTGTAAAATGCACACCCCTGTGTAATACACACCCTAATTTTTGACCACTTTTTTGCTAAAAAAAAAAAAAGATTTTCAGACAAACACCAAGAATTAAAACTTCAATTTTGCCATTTAATTAACAGGAGCTGGGAATTATGTTTACAAAGCTATTGAGACAATTCCATCTGTTTTCTAACTTTTGCGCCCTACTCCTGTCTCCCCTAATCACAAAAAGTAAACCCCCTCCCCACCCCCTATTCAAAGATGTCTTGGTCTAAAAACTAACGTGTATAATTGCCAAGCTATCCTAAACAACTTTGGATAAGGGGAGGGGGGAAATCAGGCATTCATTTGGCAGAGGTTTCAGGTTTTGCCGCGATGACAGGAAAAAATAGGCATTTTCGCGATTTGTCTCAACAGGTTTTGTCCGGGGTTGTAGCTTCTACTACAAATATTGCAGGCATCGAGCAGCTATTTTATATACAAGCTTTTCTATTCAATAAAAGTCAAACATTTTACAAATGTTGTAACTTGAAGTCCATTTAACAGTGGCCATTAACTAAATGACAAAAGTACTCACTGGGCAGGGCTAAATGTCAGTATACTGTAAAGCTATAAAAACTGTAAATAAAAAATGTTTATTGTGTTATATGAACACGGTTGTTGTTGTAATAATTACAACCTACAGACGTGACCTTGTACGTGACCTTTTGAACCCGCTGAAGAAAAAGTATATTTCTTGAGAGGTCTGTTAGAGTGGTTACGAGACGAAAAATGTAAATGCTAGTTAATAAACCCTTCCAATTGGCAGCATTTTGGCATTAAGGCTCTATGTTGGGTACCACACAGAAAAGACACAAAACTGAGATAATGGGCAAAATTCTGGTGGCAGGGAAGCACTTAAATCTAGAGGTAAGGGGACTAGGAGAGAAGCCCTCCTGGGGGGAGACAAGATCGAGTGCTACCGGGGGTAGCCACCCTGGACAGGAGTCTTGATCAGTCTCCGGGGGTGAGGCCCATATCCCCCAGTCGCTAGGAACTAAGGGGAACCAGGAGGGGTGGCCCTCCTGGGAGGAGTACAGATCAGGTGGGACCGGGGGTCCACACCCTGGAGTGGATATTTTCCCGGACCTGTCTCCAAGGGCTAAGCTTTACTGTGGGGTAAAGTGCAGCCAGGGGTTGCACTTCCCTGCCACAGATTGTTGGTTGATTTTGATGGCTGGCAGGGGGAGGGGACTCTGTATATGAAAGGGGTGGGGATGCTTATCATCTAGCTTAGGGTGCAAATTTCAGATTTTGGTCTTGCTTAGGGTGTTCTGGGAAGAAATATTAAAAAATTATATATTTTCAATTTGTTTTATTCACTCCATTCACGTAATCAAAGATTAAAAGAATTGCTTTTAGAGGTCAAAAAAAGGTTGGGCCACGCCCAGATTGGTCTCCTTTAGGGGTTTAACTCAAAATTCCTGATGAGCATCCCACCCCTTTCATATGCGGAGTCCCCCCCCCCCCCCCCCCCCCCCCCCCCCCCTCCAAGCCCCGGAAAAAGGAACAAAAACAATGGCAACCACCCCCCCTTCCCCTCCTTTCCCCCGCACACCAAAAAAATAAAAAAAAAGAAAGACGGGAAAAAAACGATAGAGCGAACAACCCCACCAACAAGCCACCAATTGGTTGTACCCCCCCCCCCCCCCAGGTGCTTTCACCTGATCAATGGCTGAGAGAACGAAGCATATACATGTGCAGCCAGTCCTCATTCCACTTCTTAGCGGAACAACATAAGACATTAGCAAAAGGGACGTCGGTGAAACAACTCGTAGGCGAAACGACCAGTCAACATTTCGATCCATGTTGTTGATCTCATTTTGTGGTATTTATTATGATTGACAACTAACTTTCTCAGTATGTATTGTTTTTTTTCTGTCATCCAATTGGTTGATTTTGTCTAGGTGGCCCCGGTTATAGTAGTCACACTGTAATAAAAATATTTTGATTTGCATTGTTAAATAGTGTTGTCTAACATTGACACTGGAGAAATACGAAAAAATTCTATCAAAATGGTAAGCTGGGGAAAAAATTCACACGAACTATATCCCCAGCCCTCCCCCGCTGAGACCTCAATATAACCCCTAATATAAATCCTATGTTAATTTCAAGCCTCATGTTGCTAGGATTGTACAGTGCTACCAGGGCATTATGTAAAATAAAAGTAAACATATCCTCACGAATTAAAATAGTTCTTCCTTCCTCTGAACGTTTAGTTAGGATAAAATTAAAAACAATGCGAATAAAACGGGGTTCGACTGAAAACAATACGCTTAATAATTTTAATATAATAAAGTTACTGTTGTTGCTTGAATGAATGCGATGTTTTTGATGAGAATTATAACCCGATTATAGAGATTGTTAAAATATTAAACCCACCTCACTTTCTTTGTCTTCTCGCCAACGATAAATACGGCTCATTGATGTAGAAAGAAGATGTCCAATTCCTTGTTGATTTTCCACCCAGAAAATATTATCTGATTTGACGCGTAAAACATCAGCCAGTCGCTTCTTGAAGTTGAACACTTCAGCTGACCGAATTGGGCTCAACCACAACGGCTCCTTCTCCTGAAAAATTACCCCATTTAATTTGCTTCTAGGAATGTTTCTGTGCTCTAAAAAGTCCTCCACTGCAATTTCTTTTTGTTTTTTGAGACCGTTTAGCCGCAACGAGTTGTAATTCGTAACATAGAAGACACCTTCCAGTTCGTCTTCTTTCCAGTTGTATTTTTTGCCGAAGGCCACGAGTTGTAGTCCTTTCATAGTGGCAGGTAGTTCTTCCATAACCGAAGGAATCATGCTCAAAATACTAATAGAAGGTCTTACAGTCAAAAAATGCGGTGAATTTACCACAGCATCCATTAATCGTTGGCATAACTTCAGAGGTTCGTCGCCAAAGCCGATGAAAACCAAATTAGGATCAAAATATTTCGGGATAGTAACGTATCTTCGATAATAGAAGCTATCCATACTACTGATACTATCGTCCATGAAAAGCCCCGCTCCGAAAGGAGTAGCCATAGCATTCAAGACCAGGGTCCTGTTTTATGCTCAAGAAAACAAGGTAAACCGTAAATAATCCGCTCCCATGTTTTGGATTTTGATGGATATGCTTGTTCGATACGCTTCGTTTAGACTATACTAAAAATCAATGCAAAACGTTATTTTGATTTCTCCAGCAACTCCCTCGTCCCCAGGGCTTTCCCGCGCTCAGAAATTTAGGAGACCGGGTTGAACTGGTGAAGAGTCTCGCCAGGCAATATCGGAGTAATTACCAGCTATATAAATAAAGGAGTGCTCACTCTTTGGTTTTGAGTAGGGTATCCTGTCCCTGCTATCTATGCTTTGGAACTACAGTCGACTCCCGACAACTCGAACCTTCAAGGGAAATCTAAAAAAGGTTCGAGTTATCGGGAGTCCGAAGAAAATAGCCGAGAGTAAGGTAAAAAACAGTTTTTACTGCACAGTGAACATTTTAATCACATTTAATTGTAGAAATGTCAAGTGAAAATTAAAAGATGCTTCTAGATTATAAATCAAAACGTAACGTAACAAAACATAGCCTAAATAGAGCATGCGTTTTACTGTTTTGAGAAGAAAGGCTGCTTCACGTTAGCCTGTGACAATCAACATCAGCCTTCACTAGTAAACTATACTCCTACAACACGTCAATAGCAAACTCCAAAATTCAATGTTTCGGACGCCAGTAGACGGCTTTTTTCCCGACTTTTTAAGGGCTCAAAACATGGTGCGAGTTATCGAGGGTAAAATTATATAGAAAATGACCTGAGAGGAAACGAAAATTGGTTCGAGTTAGCGGGAGTTCCAGTTATCGAGGGTTCGAGTTACCGAGGGTAAAATTACAGTGAATGTATGACGGAAATCCGGGGGAAATCGATTTTGGTTCGAGTTAGCGCGAGGTTCGAGTTAGCGAGGGTTCGAGTTATCGGGAGTCGACTGTATAATCCGCCTGTTTCCCTTTGCAGCTCAACAGTCACATTGTGAAAAAACATCGTGCTGGAGAGCAAAAAATGCAGTGAGATCTTGAATAAAAGGAAATGAAATGAAGGTGTTTTGAATGCGCCTTTTTAGGCCCCAAGCATTGTAAGGGGCCGTAATCTTCTCGATCTTGATGGCGGAACTATGTGGACAAGAATCTCAGGATAGTGGCTTATTTGTCTATACAGAAATTGCTTGTTTAATGTTCTGATTTGGCTGCAAGAGTTTTTGTTTTATATAACACGACAAAGCAGTTTCAAGACTACTCCAATAATTAACTCACGAATTCGCTTTTTTTACTGGTTTGCCAAGCCCAGTCATAAATTCTCTTTTGTCAGTCGTCTCTGTCAAAAAGCGTAAGAGTCTTATTACAATTCAAAACGTTTTCTTAAAATTTAAAACTGGGATTTCTCGTAAAACATTATGAAAAAAGGTAGGGTAAATGAAAAGGCAGTAAGGAAAAACGTAACAGCCTTTAAAAAGTTGCCTAATATCTTTTTGAAACTGAAATACAGTTTTTGTCTCAAACTAGCTTAACTCGATAAATTTAATTTCTATTCTTTGACATCCGGGTTTTCAAACCTTGAAGGCATTTCTTGGCTCAATTGAGGTACAACAGTCGTAGATAAAGTACGTTCTCAGTTTAAACCGGTATTAAACTTACAAGCGTTAATTAGCTTTTTGCTAGGAGTCTACATCTCAGTGGTAACCTAGGTTAAACACTGGTTTTAATCTGTGAACGGATTTTACGTACAACACACCAAACTTATTAACAAAAATGACAATGGAAACAAAGCAATTCACAGACACTTTAATTCGACAGATCATACTTGGATACTTTATTTCACTTAAGTTGAAGATATTATAAATAAAAATAGCAATAACATTTGCTACATGCCGGTGAGTTCCGCAATAATAAATACTACTGATACTAACAGTCCCATGATTTTAAAATGAGACGATGATGGTTCCGCAATTTCTTTCTTGCACGAAAAAATTTGTCCGCATTACTCGGTTGTTAATGGTTGCATGCGCCTCACCTGAATTTAGACGGCAAGATTTGCAGCCATACTGCCGTTACACCGAACAGGTGCGTTGCTCGAGGAAACGCCCGTAGGAAAACATCAGACCACTTTCTCAGAGACTACAAGTAGTCGAGGTCGTGGACTAATCTCCTCAGAGATCAGTGGTAGGCCGAGGACAATACGCGAGCGCGCGTGGAATTCACGCTTGCCGCACTATCTAGACCGTATCCTACCGCTACCTTAAGCCCGGTCACTACGTCTTTCGCTCTATTATGCCTAAAGAAAATAAGAAACCACTCGTCTGTCTCGCCATTTCCATCACGCTTCCTGTTGTATTGCAAATTACGCCAATTAAGCGTCGTTGGCGTCTTTCATATTTGAAACAACATCAATCTTTTTTACTGTAGCCGAGAAAAGTTTATGAAGCGACATACTAGATCCCATTGAAGTTCCTGGCCGACCTAAGCCTATGGTCTCTGTCCTTGCCCTCAGGTTTACTTGTGAGTTCCTAGGGGAAAATGTCTTATCGCCGCGAGTGGCTTGAGTATTCGTTACTACTTCGTTGACGCTAGTTCTTAGAATCAAAAACTTCTTAACAAGGACCTTCCAGTCGATAACGTCTTCGATTCGAGTATTTCTTTGACTGCTATTTCGATGCTGCGGTAGACCTCCGTTTGGAAGCCAAGTATTTGAAGTTTCGTACAATGGATTCATCGACGTGCTGTCGGGAAGCTGTTCGTCGGTCCGAATAATGTCGATGATACTCGCGCGGCAACATTTAAACTTCAACTTGTACATGAGACGCAAGTAAGAGAAGAATTTCGTTACGAGATTCAGGGGGGAGGGGGTTGTGGTGGAACGCTTCATGTTACGAATCAACTTCGCGCGACCAAATTTCCACTCAATGTCCGACTGCATTTGAATACGTTGATAAGTATCACTCATCATCGCTATCAGCAGATTAATGAGGACAATAATTGTTATCACGTTATAGATTCCAAACGTAGCCTTTGCCAGTATAAACGTGGCATTGTCTATGGATTCCGGTTCTTTTAGCTTTGAGACCTCAGTCAGTCCAAATAAGCTGAAAAATAGCAGCTCAAAACAGCGGAAGAAATCCACCGGGGTATGTTGTAGTCCGTTTCCTGTTCCAGTTTGTTTCATGGGCCGATACACTGCTGCTAAGTGAGCCGTAAAACCCACCATAAAGATTGACAAAATAACCAGGAAACGAACGAGGTCATACATAAGGTCCCGGATGATAACTCCCCATGGACCGAATAAATGATGAAATGAGAGAAAATCCAGCAGCTGAGCAAAACAAAGCATCATTGACGTCGCGAAGAACTGATTCCGAGCGTAAATGACGTCGATTCGAGCATCACCTTGAAAACCAAAGGCTGTTAAATGAAGCAGAATGCCAATTGTGCTTAAGAACAGGACAATGACCGGGATCCAGCCCAGTCCTGCGCGATCATGTGGGTCCGTGAGCTGAGATAATAATAATCCTGATAACCAGATCAATAAAAGCCATTCGTACCACCGCGGAAGGAGACTGGTACCTGTTAACTCCTCCCAAGGGACCACGACTGTGAAGCTAAACAGTGCAATGAGGTAGAAATGCGAGATGAGATGGCAAATAAACTTGATAATGGGTATTTTATGATATCGATCGTTCCACGGAAGGCAGAGAAACGCCCATAACGGTGGACATATTAAACACAGTATAAACAACAAGAAGTATTTCCAGTCGTCCCACTTGAAGTCACCGCGCCATACATCCCCGAGGTAAACTTGAACCGACGGGTGTGATACGCAAGTCTTCTGTTCACACTCGATAAGGTAATCCAGAAATGGTACATCGCGGTCATCAATAGCTGTCAGCAGTTTTTCAGGGCTGTCTGCGCATGCGAGAGACAGCAGCTCGGAAGCTATGTTCTCACAAACTTCGCCAGCAGCCAATAAATCCCGCGCGCGTTCTTTCTCCCGCGTGGACTCGTTACGATAGTGTTTAGAGAGCTTGGCCGCGGCGTAGATTGGAGCGGGGCATTGGAGAATGAAGTCAATAACTGACTCGCTTTCGTTCTGGTTTGAGCAAACCATTAAATCGAACAGAAACTGTGGGAAAACAACAAAAACAACCGCTATGACAAATGTGTTGCTTGCCTTGTGGACTCAATCATACTAGTACACCGCTAACTTAAAATTAATTTCAATAAGCAATTGTAACGGCACTACGCCATTAGGCTTTTATGACAGAAGATCATAGAAGCAAGAAGCTACACGTACCGCAAATACAACGTAAAATTGTCGAGATAGAATTTTAGTTAAAAAAACCGATGAGTTACTTAAATGACAACTCTTTGGAGTTCCAGCCTCAATTAGGAATTATCATGTTAGATGGACTATTTCTACTGCTTGTTTTGTCGAAGGGTAAATGTTAACAAAAATTTCTGTGCAAAAGTGCATTTGCTCCAGATACTTCCGGGTCCACTTTTTCTTCCTGTAGAACGAACTTGATTCTGTTGCTACTGAAATGACCAGATTTAGAACCTGACCCGTGTATACAATAATTGGGAAATAAGTACCTTTCTGTCAGCTAGCAATCGCTCAGTGCTGAGCTCCTGTTGTAGTAGATACTTGACAACTGCAAGGTGACCTTGCATAGCCGCGTAGCAAATAGCAAACTTGCCCTCCTGTAAAGTAAAAGAAACGTAATAATACTACTAAGAACTGTGATAGAATATTATTTATTGTAACTTAAAATTGTAGTTTTTCCTTCCTTTTCCTTTCCTTTCCTTTCCTTTCAATTTATTTTTCTTTTAACTGGTCCGCCTAGATTAGCAATTGCTATTTTGCGGGCCAGTCTATTGTAACCAATAGTCTTATGAAATAAAGTTGAAGTTGAAGTTGAAGTTGAAGTTGACTAAAAAATGAATGAATGAGTGACTCAACAACACATTTACAATACCCAACTGCGGAATACTTTGACTTCCAAAGCTGTTGATCTGTTGGCTTGTCCAGTCACAATAAACGAGAGTCTAAAATTCGCAATATAATCTGCATAACATAAGTAGGCTGAGCATGATCGTCCGGGTGAACGTAGTCCTGAATAGGACTGTTGTTGTTGACAGTGACTGAAGTTTCGACAACTTGTGCGGTAGTCAGCTTCAGTGTCACAGTGAGTTGTATCACGTCAGTTGTTGGTCATAAACTCTGGTTATTGATTTGATTGGTCAATTAAGTGGAAATGTCATTGGTCGTCTGTCAGTTAAGCCGTAATGTTATTGGCTATGAAGACTCGTTATGTCATTGGTGCGTTTCAATCCGTCTTTTATCACAGTTCAACTCACCAGAGATTCCGCCCGCGGCGATGCTCCAGATTCGACCAACAGTTTTATAACTTCAACATGACCAGCTTCGGCCGCCATGTGCATTGGTGCATATCCATTCTAAAAACAAACCAAGGATTTCTAAAATCACATTGACTGATAATTTTTTAAAATCTGGCTGTGTAAAATCAAACAAACAGTTTGGGAAACATCAAACGGGGATGGAAGGTGACCAAAATAATGACGTCACGATCCTGAAGCCAGGCCACACTTTCCATCACTCACCCCTCCCCCCGATTTTCTGTTGGTCTAAGTATAAATAATGCAAAAGAAGGAACGGATCATGGGGGCGGGGGGGGAGGGGTTGGGGGGCGAAGTACAAAAAAATATTCGCGCAAGGGAAAATTAAATGAATGGACGTCAAGTAATCCTAGCAAGTATTCATGCACTAGGCTAAAAAAATTCATACAAGAGAAATGTTAACGAAAAAAATTCATGCGGCTCGAAAATTCCCAACTGCCCCCATAACGTTTCTAATAGTTCGTCCCTACGGACATGTTCCTCTTTGGCCGCGCGCGATTAATTGACAATGTGCTGAAATAAGACGGGGAGCACGGGGATAGCAAGGGATGGCGCAGTGGTGACAGCGCTCGCCTCTCACCAATGTGACCCGGGTTCAAGTCCCGGCATCGACGCCAAAGTATGTGGGTTGAGTTTGTCGTTGGTTCTCTCCTTTGCTCCGAGAGGTTTTTCTACGGTTTTCCCCTCTCCTCAGAAACCAACATTTCCAAATTCCAATTCGACCAGGAATCAGGTAGACGAAGAACCACTTTGTGGATGTGCTACCTCCAAATCATTATTTATTTATTTAAATAAGAAAAACGAAAGGGATGCCTTTTTGGATCACTCAGCGCAGAAACGTGCACTATTCAAACGTACGTAACATTTCATTGTACTTCCAAAACCACGATGGATTGACTATGTAACAATCTTTCTGTGGATTATCTTTCCGGAACACGAACAACGCATCCGTACACGCGGTCGTCGACACTTACCTCATCAGGTGCGTTGATATCCGCGCCCTGTCCTATCAGTTGTGAAATAAGTTCTCGGTGTCCATTGGCGGCAGATAGATGCATAGCTGTTCTGCCCATCTTGTCCTTTACATGAAGCTGTAGGGTTGATTTACTTAATAGAATACTAACAACCTCTGAATGACCATTCTCTGCTGCCAAATGAAGAGGAATCGAACCCTACATCGGAGAAATACAAGCCCTAGTTAAAGATGGTTTCTGAATGCGAAGCGGCAAACAGGAACGAGCGCTTAAGCCTATTGGCCAAAACTGCTGAGCAAACGCACTGCGAACTTGTTCAGTAAAAATATAGTTCTTGTGCTAGAGGCACACAGAAAAACCTTGAATGAAAAATGACTAGCAGAGATAGCGGTGCCGTTCCAGAACCAGATGTAAAAAAGTGTCCTCAATCAGTACCTTGGGCTGAATACAGAAGCTTTTTAACGCAACGACTTAGTCCAATTAAGCGCATGACGTGTACATTATTTACCTGTACAGCAGTTGCTGAGTCCACACGCACCCCTGGTGAGTTCAGTAGTAATCGAACAACACCCACGTGACCAGACTGGGCGGCTAGATGCAGCGGAGTAAAGAAATACTGAAAAAAAGTGAAATAATGATCAATATTTCTACAGAGAAAGGCAATAAAACAGCACGGCGACTCCGCTGAAATGAAAGATACTGAGTAGTTATAATCTGTGGCAATGTTTCCTACGCTGTTCAAAGTGGTTCTAACTTTTGAGTTTAATCTGATTCAGCTGAAAGGTACTGGCCTACAATTTGCTGTAATGTTGTTTTAATTTGTAAAGGAGGAGTAACTATTGATTTAGTTGACGTAATACTCAAGTCGCTCTAAGTCCTTTTGGATTTGAAAAAAAGTTTAGAGAGGCTGTAGCCTGCAAATACAGCTGCTTCCGGCGGCTGGATATGTTTTTGTTTAGTCGACTTACATCCGAGCGCGGTCCTTTTTCGTTATCCACCATTGCAGGAGACTCGCTTCTTATAGTTCCAGAAACTTTCAGTAGCATTTCTCTGACGACTTCAATCTGACCATACTGAGCAGCTACGTGGAGAGCGGAAAGGCCAGTCTACAAAAAACAAACACACAAACAACATTTCTGCAATCAGGATAAACACGAGCTGAGGCTGAATATTTTGTAAAGATACTTTCGACTAATTAAGTCATGATCACCCTGAAGATGACTCAAGTCTGGTGTTTTTACTTTTTAAAACCTTTTGGCTTAGTAAAATATATTTCAATCTCAAGCGAATATTATGGGCATTTTGCAAGGACTTAATAATTTCCTGACCAATATATATTAACCAAGAGAGAATCAATTCATAATGTTGTGATACGGAGTCCCTGTTACTCTGAGGGTCAGTCAACTTAATACACGTGGTGTTTAGACTGATGCCAGACAAAAAGGTAATTGGCTTCATGAGGTCACGGCCAAAATGTTCAGTGTGAAAAATTGTAGAGAGAGAGAGAGAGTCAGGTATGTGGGATGGGGGAACCAGTATCATCCAATCTGATTATCTCACGATTACAGGATTTGACCTCATATGTTACAAGCGCAACAGCTATTTCGCTTGCTCTATAGCACAAAGTGATTTCCACCTCGTTTATTTACTTACATATTTAACACTTTTCGGCTCGTCGTATAAAAGCCCAAGGAAGTACAACATTTGCTTAAGGTCTAGACTGATTACGAATAAAAACACGGCAGTAAATAAGCATCTTTACCTTGACACTCGCCATGCTCCAAGGTACTTTCCCGCGTAAAACTTCTAACACGTCCACGTGACCAAATTTCGCAGCCAGATGAAGAACAGTCATGCCGTCCTACATGCGGACAAAGGGGAACAAAAAACAAACACGTTTAGTTATAGCGATTTTTCTTGCGCCAACGTTTGCCCGAAAGTCCTTTGATAAGAAAGAGATGGGCATAAGTAAGACTTTTTTTATGGAGTGAGTGAGAAGCTCATTATTAGGGCCTGTTTGCGCGTCGGCCTACTGTAGTGAGGGATAAATCGTCCACATCATATCTCGAGTTAAGAACGTCTTGTTTTTTAGATTAAACTCAGTATTGGATCTGCTACTCACCGCATCTTCGTCACTTGCTGAGGCTCCATGAGCAATCAACACTTCCACAACAGCTTTATGTCCTCCGCTGGCCGCAAGTAATAAGGGCGTAGCGAATTTACGCTGTTAATAGAATTAAAGTATGTCAATGGAAGTTCACTAAAAAAATTATGCCAACTTTTCCAACCACCACAAATGCTTCTTCTGTCCTAACTAATAAACAGCAAACTCAGTTTCCGGTGGTGATGTTTATTGCGTCACAGAGAATGGCTGTAACCTCTGTGTAAGGGAAGAGAATCAGTTTTCCATTTACCTTATTTCTTGCTGTCGTGATTCCTGAAGGATTGAATTTCAGAAGTTCTTTCATCACCGATACACTGCCTTTCATTGCTGCGATGTGCACACACGTACTTCCTTCCTGTGTAACAAAAGCAAGAGAATCCTTTTTAGAAAGCACTTACTACAGAAACTGCGTTGTTTAAAATATCAGTGAGATCCACAACAAAATAACTTACATATCCACAAGGGACGCCTTATCCTCTCTTGATACAATATGAAGTACAAATGTCAAAAAAATGTGTGGTTCTCTTAACATCTAATGATACACCTCATGAACAACATGTTGATGAAACGTGAAAGCTAATTTTACACAATAAATTGCTATCATTTGTTTAGAGAATGATGCCAACCGGTTCCATGCCTTGGGTTCTGCTTCCAAGAAGGTTCTTAAAGCAATTTGTCATTTCACTAGTCATTTCTTTACGCGATAGTGGTGACAGGCCATCATTAGACCAGACAAAATTAGCCGGCCACAGCTTACGCTGTGCGCTACTCCTATGCTGGCAACCCCAGCTTACCCTTTGCTGGGTTACCTGTGGCACAAGTTAACTGTTACCTACCGCATTCTGTTGCATCATTACGCCAGGTTTATGGTTAAGGAACAGGGTCACCACCTGTGAATGATCATTTTGTGCAGCGTAATGAAGAGGTGTTTGTCCTTTCTGTGAATAAAAGTAAGAAAAATAAATAACCTTTATTGGCAAAGGAAAACTTCTTTGTTGGAGTTTCTTTTACACCTTGACTGGCCTGCAGTGCGTTCCAAAACAACACAGCATGCCACAGAGAGTATTCAGAGGTAAATTTTTCTCACATATATTTAAATATTATTGGTTGAAATATCATGTCAACATATCATAAGGCTGTAGATTAAGTAACATGAGCTCTCACTAATGAATACAATAAACATCGGACAGGTTACGTTTCTCAATACAAACAGTGTATAACCACGAAACATTGGGAGATCTCTGTCGGATCACTTTCGTAACTCTGGTGAAGCTTGGTCATTTTTTGTAAATGGATGATAACGTTCAGTCTACGCTACAATCTCCCCATCACCTCGGTTATAGACATTCCACACCCAAAAACAGCTGCAAACCACTGATATCAGTTCTACAATTTAATGAATCAGACAATATATAACTTACATTGTCCAGCGCGCAGATGTCGGCTCGTAGCTCCAACAGATGTTCACAAACCTGTAATCGACCTTTTTCTGCAGCCAAATGCAGGGCTGTCTTCTTTTCCTGTTAAAATTTTGTTTACATTCGTTCAATTAATTTCGCCTGCAAATCTATCCACAAAAAACACTTTTCACCCAACATCGTCAGTGCTATAACATGAAACAGCACGGAAAGAGCTGGTATATTTCAAAAGCAAAGGTTATATCAGTTTGGGTGAAATATGGAAGGAATTGTGATCTGAGAATAACAAGATCTCACCAGAGTCAAAGCATCTACACTTGCTTTGTAATTCGTAACAAGGAGACCAACTAGTTCTTTATGTCCACTTTCTGCCGCCAGATGAAGAGGTGTGAGTCCAACCTGAAAAGAAAAAAAAGAGGTTAAAAGATTCAGAACAGACCAAAGTGCTTGTGTCGGTTGCGGAGAAACGAAATATTAGTGTGTGTTTTTTTTCATGTAAGTTGATAAAGTAAATTTACCAAAACAAAGAGATTCTTTATCAGAAAGAATCGCTCTGACGAAGGACTAGTGCTCGAAACGTTAGCTTTTCAATCACTAGTCTTACCAAGGACTGAATTTTCAAATTTAACGTGATTGCTGTTCTGCTATGTGGCTCTGAGACCTGCCGCGTTATTAGGGACGATGAAAACAAACTAGACACCTTCCAACATTTGTGTCTCAAAAGGATCTTAAAGATCTACTGCCCAATAAAAGTGAGTTATGAAGTGGTAAGACGAAAGGCAAAAGTAGAGCTTATCCGTACACAAGTGAAAAGGATTGTGACGGTGGTAGTACATAGGTCATGTTACTACAGATGCAGGAAAAAGTTATTCCACGTACCGCCATCGCGTACATGGGCACCAGAAGGCAAGAGAAAGAGAGGGAGCTCTAGGGAGGTACGGATGAGACGAACAGTGGAGAAAGAACAAAAGGAGTTTGGACTGGGGTCCTTCGATCAGGCCCATATCGTTGCATGGGACACAGACAGTTGATGAGAGAAGAATTCCTTACTGTACACATAAGGAAAGGATCTGACGTAAATGATGAGTCTACAACACTAAACATGTGTCGTTATCTAGAGTTCAATTATTCAGCCTCATCACAGCTGCAATAAATGTACCTATAACAACTTTGTGTTCAACTGATAAAACACTTGCAAATTCCAATTCAAGAAGGAACAAAAAACAAAACTAACAAGTGATGATGCTCCCGTAAGTTTGGTAAAATGAACAGCAGTGGGCAAAACTTAAAGGTGTATAAAAAATATATTTAACGTTTTAAGGTCCATTGATATACACCTTGGCTTGGAGCAAGAGTACCTAGAACGGAAAGAAAGCGCAAAAACTAACTCTCTGGCACCGATAAGAGAAAGGCACCAAATAGGTGGGTAAGCACATTGCTTAGTGCAAGATGTTTGCCCCGAGGAGGGACTGGGAGAGGGTTGTGCAGCTAAACGTAGGCGATGTCAGTTAATCGCTGAAGATTAAGAAGCAAAGGTTGTATGAGCAATGTTCCACTAACAGCAGTGAATTGTGAATGATACGCACTACACGTTTACCTTGCTTTTCGCGTTCACGTAAGCCTTATGTTCAAGCAGCTCCTGAGCGACTTCAAGATGACCACGTTCGGCGCACACATGTAGGCCAGCTCGGCCGGACTGAGGAATCAAATAAAAAGAAGGCAGAAATTGAGTACAACTTTTCTCAAGCCGTGTTCGCAAACACACTAAAACTCAGCATTCAAAAGTATTTTAGTTCACTCATTCAACCAAAGAGAGGATAGCTTTTGGTGCCTAAACGAACGCTATCCAGTACAGTATGAACGGCGACGGCACAGAACTAGAACGAGTGGTTCGCACACATCGAACATTGCACCGGAGAGGTTGGCCGAGAGGGTTTGGTGCCCTAAATCGCAATCCTCACTCCCGACTCCCGAGACAGCGTCTTGATTTTCTTCTCAGTGGTTTCCAGTCCTTGCTCCTATTCATTCACTTCCACTACGGTCCAAATACATGTTCACACCTGACTGCGAGGAAGAGTGATCTATCCGATATGTAATGATCCACTTTCAAGCTTAGCGTCGGCGCGGCGCAGCCTTCGCTTCGTTACAAAAATCACACCGAAAACACTGTACATGTTGTTGTGTGTTAACAGTAGCCCGGTATGGTTTTCATGCCGGGGAAAAAAGCTATCCGGTATTATAGTATAAACATAGCCTGCGGTAAGATGTATCTTTAAATTTACCTTCAAATACAGTCAACTTTTGAATTATTAAAAAACATTCCCATTCTTACTCCTTTACGTCTCTCAAACTTCCTAGTTAAATAATGGGATGAATAACTGGTGGCTTTATTGTCCGTACGGAAGGCTGTTTTCAGAGCATATCGCAAGTTTTGCAAGTGAAGTTATACAGTTGAAAGCTATTTAACAGCAATTTCACTTTGTACAGTTCGTTTTCAAGATTCTATAACGCAGAGTTTACCTCATCGAACACATCTACTCTGGCGTGATACTTGAGCAAAGTGCGCACAACTTCCACGTTCCCTTTATGTGAGGCAACAATCAGCGGCGATGAACCTCCCTGTAATACAAGATACACACACAAAATACTGTAATGTGAAACCTAACCAATTGAAACCAGACTAAACCTTTTAAGTTCTAAAGCAGATACAGTACAACCCCGGTAACTCGACCTCTGAAGGGAAACGAAAAACAGTTCGAGTTACCCAAGGGTTCGAGTTAACGGGGTCGATCGTAAAATTCAGTTTTCAGTGTTAAAAATTGATCGTTACTGATTTTTCAGCACTTCAGTGTATCGTGTTACTGTAGAGCAAGTTTAACTTATTTCATCAGAACGCGGTAACATGATTAGGAATTTCAATTTTATCATATAACGTGATTAGTTCGCTGCACCAATTAAAATCAAATTTCTGCAGTGTTAACCAGTATTGGTTTTAGTGTTTTTACTGATTATACAACAAGAAGAGCTAAATCCGCTGGCATCCGAGCAGAGTTACAAGAACCAGAATTCGAGTTATCAGGGTAATTTTCAGTGAATTTTTGATCTAGGGAAAGGAAATTTACTTCGAGATAGAGGGGAATTAGAGTTATCCGAGTTCGAGTTAACCCGGTAAAAATCAGACTGAAAAGGGGGTGAGAACCAAGGCAAATTGTATTTAGTTCGAGTTAGCGGGGAGTTTGAGTTATTGGGGTTCTACTGTAATTCCTTTGAAATGGAGTCCAGCATTACGATGCGAGACACGAGATTGGAGGGCGTGAAGTTCAATAATAAAGTGCTGGTATGGGAGAAGTTGTTCATGTTACTAAGAGTGATTTGAATTCGTTTCCATCCCTTTGAAACGCCACTTCTTTCTGATTTTAACCTGCAACGATACGGAGATCATATAACTCCGCTAGTTATCCTCAAGGCTGATTAAAAGAGTCGATTGACTACTTCTACGGTGGAAACATTGGAGATTGACGATTAAGCCAGAGAAAGTATGAAACAGGCACAACAGTGAAAAAACATTGGAGCCAGGCAAACTCGACAACAAGGAATTTTAAGTTGTATTCGTGACTGGAGAGTAGCTTACCGAAGATCTTTTGTTAACCGTGAGTTGAAGCTTAGAGGAAGGAATGGACTCGAGTAAAGCAATCAAGATGTCGTTATTTCCTGAGCGTGCGCACTCGTGGATTGGTGTTTCCATGGACTATAAAGGAAAATAATGGAAGTGATTTGAGCCATGTGTGGTGATTTCATAAATATCTGTAAACATTAATTAATTGTTTTCTTAACGTTGCATATAAAAAGCAAATTGATTTATTGAAGGTTTTGTTGTACAAGTGAAAGAGTAAACTTGATTAACACCACATGACATAAATATCGTAACACGCACCTGATGCGTTACCGCTGTACAGTCGGCACCGTGTTCAAGAAGTAGATTTACGATGTCGATATCCTCAGTTTCTTTGACCTTGGCCTTGGAAAGCTGGGCTGCGTAATGTAGGGGAGTTTCTCCTTTCTGCAATTACCCATTATTTGTCAGCCAGACTAATATAGTTATAGTATTACTATTTTAGAAGTACAAGCAGGCTCTCTTTTTTCTTTGTACGTCGAGCGAAATGCGCGAGACACAAAAATGACCACGGTCTCGCAGCTTCAACGCTCGCACGCGCGTGCTTTCCCCTTGCTAAATCTGAAGAAAAAGAAGACTGCTCACAGTCTACTACTATTTACCCAAAGTTAAAGAATTGTAAAGAAATTAGACCTTTTTCGCCATTGCCGTGGGTAAAGGTATTAAGTCAAGGATTAGGTTGATAAAATACAGTGATTTGTTGGAAATTGTTTACCCAATCCTTCACCTTGTTTTATTTTGTTTACTCACTGGAGAGGAATAAGCCCGTTGGTTCTAAGCGTTTTTAATACATTATCATAACATTGTTAATCATATGACTAAATAAGTAAATAAATAAATACATTTCTGACTCACATCAGTTGGCATATTAACAACCAGTTTGGCAACAGGCTTAGACTTGACTGTGAACAGAACTTGCACCAGTTCCTTCAGTACCGTGTAATGCCCGGCACAGATAGCGTGATGCAGCGCAGATTCGCCGTTCTACAAACAAAACAAAATATGACAAAAACTTTTACGCCTTGAGGTGTGTGTGTGTGTGTGTGTGTGTTGTTTAAAGTTTTTCGTTGGATGTCCAAAGATAACTGCTAACGGGGATTAACAACATTCGCTATCCACACACTTTAATACTAATACGTGTATCACTTGTTCTCGCTTAATCAATTTTGTGCAAGTTTCACTTTTCTAAAACTGAATCGGAAAACAGACTATTATTCTTGGAACGAAGAAGTTAGCCTGCACAACAGGCGTTTCTGGGGGCGCTCAGACGGGTTCTGGGGGACGAGCGCCAGACAAGCAAGAGGAAGGAACCCGCCCGAGCGCACCCAACAACGCTGTTGTGCAGCAGTACGAAAGCGCGAAAAAAAGTCCTGTTCTATAAACCAAAAACAGCAACCAAAAAGTTACAAATTAAGGGGAATTGTTTTAGCGATTACCTTGGATCTTCTTGCAGTGTCTGCCTTTTCGTTGATTAAAAGTCTCAACGTTTTCAAGTTCCCATATCTCGCCGCGACGTGTACAGCTGTTTCACCATTCTGAAGATAACGAGAGAAACCGGTTTAAGAAGAAATTGTGTTTGTTGGCATGAACGGCAAAATACACTTTTTCTTACATCACTAGCAGCGTTCACATCCGCTCCACTTTTGATCAACATCTCAGCAACTTTCTCTCCATCTTTGATTCGAGCTGCAATGTGCAATGGTGTTTCTTCCGCCTGTAATTAAGAGGTAATGGGTTCATGATAACCGTCACCTAGTGGTCACTTAATGTCTCTATATTCGTGACGGTTATCATGAACCCATTACCAATTAAGACACAATAACTGAATTTTAAGGCGCGAAAAACGCGGACAGTTCTACCACAAAGGAAAGATCATAATCATACACTTAACAATGAGATTTTGCTGTGGGGGTAGTGTAGAGCTTAGTACAGATAGGGGAGTGGAGTAGTGTAAATATTTACTAGTCACCTTGCCGCCCTTGTGTTGTACGTTGGCGCCATATCCCAGTAAAATCTGAACAACCTGTGGCTTACAGTGCTTGACAGCTATATGCAGTGCTGTATAATGATCCTGAGTGTACAAGAAATTATTATGAGAAACCAATTAAAAATCATCCACGTTCTGCTGAAAGACAAAGGCTGTACTGTGAGGCATTAAATCAAAGCTCCACCTTGGTTTTTGTATCCACTGAAGCTCCCTTTGACAGCAACGCTTTTACTACACCTACATGACCTCTTCTGGCGGCAGCGTGGAGACAAACTGCACCCTCCTATCAAATAAACAGACAAGGGTTGCGGCGTTAGACTGGTGCCTTGGCCCAGGAACTATATTCTTGATACCGGTACTTACCTTGTTGGGCATGTGGAGGGGCACGCCCTTTTTGAGGAACACGAGTGCTGTGTCGGGATGACCAGCTTGTGAAGCAATATGCATTAGAGTACTACCGTCCTGCAAAAAATGAAAACAACTTTAAGTTAATATTTCAAATGATCTTTTGGAAATTGAAGGAGGGAACATCCCAAAATAGAAAATAACAACTTTTTTATGCTTATTAGTAAGAAGACTCAGTCACCCGCGCTCGGCCTAAGGGTACAGGAGACCGTTTGAGTCGTCGAGGGGGAACATTACACTCGACTTGAACCGAGAAGACGCGAGTTGCGTTTCCGCATTGAACACAGCTGGGCTTAATTTCGAGCCCAACTTTTCGAGAACGTTTGTAACAGCTAACAGCTCAACTCCCAGCCAGTTGATGTTGTTTTGTTCTACAAAGTGAAAGCTACATCGAATGTTGTTTGTTTGCAACATTTGAAAAACCTCTGGTCTTCAAGCCTTTGCGCTTTAAACACTTAGAGAACATTAATCCAGAAACGTTTTGTTACTGGCGGTGTAACGAGGTTTAATTGTCCGCTTATCAAATTTTCTCTCAGCATCAATTTTGGAAAAAGATCCTTCCTACCGTAATAGAAATAATGGCAAATACCGACCTTACCTTTGTTCTCAAGTTCACGTTCGCTTTTAGTTTGTCCACTAAGAATTCAGCGGCAGCAGAATGACCACGTTGAGCCGCCAAGTGCAGTGGTGTGCGGTCGTTCTAAAGCAAAAGAAATCCGCGAGTAGTAAAACAACTGAGCCATGGCTATTTCCTTTAAAAATCAACAGCCAAGATCAAAAATCATTTTCGTCTCCACTTAGTTGTCGTTATAGCTGAGTCTGCTCTCATCTTTTTCTACTCAGCTTAAACATAGTAACTTATAGCAAACAATCATGTAAACAATAGGCTGTCAAGTAAAAAATTCTCTGTCACACTACATGCATGCAGTCTTTTCCTGTTAATGTATACTTATAGCAAGTTGTACAGCTAATGCTCTCTTCCTCGACTAAATGAGTATTTTACGCACGATAAAAAGTTTTGAATTCCAATCCATTTGTTTTGAGTTTTGGTTCAGTCGGCCAAGACGTAGAGTATGCACGTTTTAACAAAAACTTGTTTTCCCGTAGCCTGTTCCAGGCTTTTAGATAGTAGAGCGCAGCGTTCAGATGATGAGGAGCGAGTTAAATCACACGCAGGAAAACAAGGGAAAAAACGAGGCTCCCCTCCTTCTTTTTTTCTTCGTCAATTTTTCTTCCGCGCTTTACTCTCTGAACGCCTAAAACAGGTTAGTTTTCCCGTGGCGTATGACCAGAATCCCGGTCATTTCGTGCTTTACTGTACTATACTTAGAGTTGTCTGGGTGTTAACCTCAGCTCTTTGTTTTTATCGATTACAGTTTTCTCGCCCTTCTTGCCATTTTCTTCATGCACCTGTAATCACTTTCATTCGATAACTTACTGCATCAGCGATATTTGCGTCAGCTTTGGCCGTTTGAAGAAATTTTATCATGGTCTCATCTCCTTCGTAAGCAGCAATGTGAAGAGCTGTCTGTCCATCGGCCTGTTATGAAAGAATAAAAAGACTTACCCAAAAGAATTGTGGGGATTACTTTGGCAAATTTAAAAGAAACACAAGATAAAACTTTGCATTTACATTCTGTATATCGACGGGGCAGCCACATTCCACAAGAATCTTCGCGATGTCAACGTCCTTCTTTTTAACAGCCGCGTGTAGAACAGTATCCTTGATATCCTGATGAGACATATAAGAACGTATTTATGAAAGGTTACTTGTGCGTCTGGATACGTTAAATTGATATTCTTTGGTTTAAGTAACCATCCCACTGAAACTTCAATTAATCTTAATTTGGATGTCGCTAAAAATTAACCCACTGTGATCAGATTTCGCCGGGTATTTCTTGCTAGTTATAAACATTAGAAAGTTGGTCATACATGAAGCTAGCGTTGTAATAATATATTTCAAGTTAAAGACCTTAAAAATGTTTGGCCACAAGGGGTAAAAGCAAAAATTATTTCTATTTAGCTGTTTTATGAGACCGGAAAACGCTACCATAACGGTATTACGCGACGAGGCCGTCTCTTGACTCTGATCAAGGGTGGTATGTTAGATTGTAACGTACAGTTTGGTGTGTCCTACAATGCTAAAGGTAAATGTGAAAGAAAGAGTCCATATTTTATGCCGGTAGCTCGAAATAGTCATCTGACTAACAAACCTGAGACCAACTGTGCGCTCATTTAATCCCTCACTTTCCGCCAGTGTTACACGAAAAGGAAAGAAGTCGAAAGAAAGATTTGAGGTCGGTCACAAAGGGGACTGGAACTCGGTACCAGCTCCCGCACAGAAGGCCGCGCAATAACCAACTATGCTAATCGTTCCTTTTAGTCTTTGTGATCTTGTTTTTACGTTCAGTGTGTTAAAAGGGTGCCGGCATTACACTCCGTTGTGCACACCCGTCTCGAAAAACAACAACAACGAAACAACTACCAGCTACGAGGTCCAATAAGCAACATAAGAGTGTTAAGTTTGTACCCACCCCTCTGGTGACTTTGACTTGTTGTTCTGCTTGTGAGCTGAGCAGTTCTTTCACAACGTGTTGATTTCCAGCAATGACAGCAAAATACAGCGGTATGGATCCATTCTAGAATTAAGAACAACAACATGGTTCACGAACAGGCACGTTTCAGCAATATTCATGAACAAGAATGCGCAAAATATGCACTAATGACTAACGGACACTGAAAATTTTCTGATGTAAATTCTAATGAGGAACATGAATGACGCCTAGGCCGCCACGAAATTAACTTAAATTTAGACAAACGGAGCTGGCCGCCAAATTCAGCGAAATATACAAGCTTGAAAATTTAAAACACTGAAGGAAGGTTTCAATAAGACTGCGAATTCATGAAGAAACTAAAAAAGATGAAAACGGATTGCTATCGCAGATGTTTGAAACCTTGTTCTTTTGACAGTTTTTCAAAGTTTATATCCGTTATTTCTAACTTTAAACATGATACTTGGCAGACGTACTTGTTCATCACGAAGTTGTACGGTTTTGTCTCTTACAAGTAATTGCTTTGCTAACGTTAAGTTCCGTAGCGACAAAGGGCCGAGTTGTTGTTCGAAACAAACTAGACTAGACTGCCATGACAAAACCCCTTGAAAGTAGTTGGACGATCCAGGAAGTTAAGGGAGGATAAATTCTTAACCAAGTCACCCTTTATCACCTTATCAGTAGCTAGTTTGGCATCCTTCCCAGAAGGCTTCAGTAGCGTTTTGACAATTTCCACTGCACCAGAGGGGCGGCTACAGGCCATGTGCAGGGGTAGTTGTTCCTCCGGCTAAGAAACAATTGGGAAAAACACAATACAAACACATGGTAAGACGTAACAACGTGACTAAACCATGGTTACTCTAATCTTAGAACCAAAGATGAAATGCATCTTTGCGCTTATGATAGAGGAGAGAGAGAAACTAGGGTATTCGCAGAAATATTCTCTTGGGACATAGGCGAGTACCAATAACAAACTAAACCCACATATAGCGTTGCCTTGGGGATTCGAACCCAGGCTACATTGGCGAGTGCTCTCGCCACTGAGGCACAGAAGAGGGGTGGGGATGGGCGAGGGGGAGGGGAAAGGGGAAGCAACCTTGACAGTCAAGTTTCTGGCAAACTCTAAAAAGCCTACCCCTGCCGTAAGAGTAGCATCCGCCTTTTTGGAGAGAAGAAGTTTAACAATTCCGTCTGAGCCTGAAAATGCGGCATAATGTAAAGCGGAATGGCCTCCCTAAAAACAAGAATATAAGTCAGCTTTAATCCATAGCAAATAGTTAATAAAAAAAATGAAAGACATATCTTAACCTAAGCATCAGGCATTCCTTATGGGTTAGGGAAAGAGAAGATTTGAATGCTTTTCCCTCGCGTTTCAATAGAAAAAGTAGACTTGCCACAAGTCGACCTGACGAGTTTCACTCTCATAGTACAGGGCGAGCGGAGCTAGCTTTAGGCCACGAAAGGGCCGAGCAAGCGACGAAGTCGCGGACCGTAGACGAAGGACTTTTTCGAAAGTCTATAGAAAAACCTGATGCTCAGTCTATCAATAAAGATCTCTATACTTTTAGTCATTGGTGGTTCAGGAGAAGAAATTATCAAAGGTAAGGAGAAAAAATCCGCATCTTAAACCTTCCCCTTGACGTCCTAAAAGGGCCAAGAAACAATTGGAACTACTTAGTTTGCTTTATTTTTTAAAATGACGTCCATATCTGCGCGAAATACCTCGATAATGCACGCTCTGCTGACAAGGGGCGCGATCTGATCAGTTATATGGAGTGCACTTTTTTGAGCATTTTATTGCAAAAAAATTATCGCACGCTGAGATTCAATCACGCGTTCACAAATTCTTTAATAAAAAGGTTACTCCGTGAATACTTTTAGACAAAGCAGCTGATGAACTTTCATAGCTGATCAAAGATAGCCTAGATATAGTCTAATCACTGCGCATAAGTGAAATGCATGATTTAAACAAACGCTATCTGCTAGACAAGGTTTTACCCAAGAGATAAAGTTTCTATTGTTCAACAACAGGGCTCTAACGAAACAGTACGAGTTGTTTTTCATGTTTGAGTTTTGGCTGACGTTGCCTTTGCTCATTTACTAAGTAAGTTTGAAAAGTTCTGATAGCAAAAGACAACTGACAAACGTGAATTGAAAAGTTTCAGGAAACGAAAGGCAAAACGACAAGACGTAATGAATGATATTTGTTTTGCTTTGTTTTATTTTTTCCCCACGTCAGGGATTCGGCTCAAAATATGATGGATCATCTTTTTCAGTTGGAGCTCAAGGACAAATATAAATATAATTGTTCTAGATAATAAACTTTAGAAATTAAAACGAAAACGGCGCTTCAAAATATCAGAGTCAAAGATCGAAAAATTTAGAAAAGACAACTTTAGCGGATTTGAAATGGAAAGATATTTTATCAGGCATGAAAGTTGCTAATAATATCTACCTTGGAAAAGAGAGTTTGAACAGTGCCGCACTAAGTGGCGACAAGTGTGGTTTAAGAGATCTCTTTTCTACTGTTGAAATGACAGAGACGAAGACAAGGCGTGAGATTCTGCTGACGGAGAACAGAGACAGATTGCCGGAATTGGTGTTTGATCAAACTTTTAACTGACTAAGAGCGGTAAAGCCGGGAAATCCATCGAGAATTAAATTGCCCAGTTAAGACGCGGAGCTTATAATGATTCAAATTTAGGCCGCTTAAAAGCATGCCTGTGGATTCAGGCACCACACTCTATAGAGCTTGGGGCAAAAAAAAAAATATATGAGCTCTTGCCAAACATGTAATAATCAGTTAAACACCAGGTTCGGCACATGAAAAGTTCGGCGTCTGAATCAGAGCCGGTCAAAATTCTCAGCTGAGCCGCTCCAAATTAAAAGAAACGCTCGGCTCATGAAACGTTTTAAGTCTGCTGGAAGCGTTTGGTACCTAAAATTATAAGCACAATAGCACAGAGGATCTCAAAAAAAAAGAACATTAAGAACATCAGTAATTACATCAAATTTTCAGGCCAAAAAGACTTTTTATTGAGCTTATTGCCTTATAATGAACTGTATTTTTTAATCTTATAGTGAAAATACCCGACGATTTTCTGCACGCGCAAGAAAGGTTTCTTGTGAGGTGCATGGAAAAATATTGATGTCGGACTTCCAAACTGAACAAATACCTTCAACAAAATATACTTCCGTTTGTAGTTACTTTTGATTATCACCCAGCGATTTTCTCGAAGATAAAACTAACACTGTATGTATGTACACGAAATCAGCGAATTTTGTCTTCATCAGCCTAAACAGGAAAAGGTTTTCTGGATTTCATGATTTTCCGCTCCATGCACATCTTGATTTATCAATCAAATGTGAAATTTTGCTTAAGCAGAAAAGCTTTTATCTCTCACCACTCAACCCCCAATAAATTAAAATCACTAATGTTAAACCGCGGAGTTCACTTAACATTTGACCGACAAAAAGGAATTTAAGAAGTGTTAAATCTACTAACTACAGGTCATTTTCAGGGAAAGATTATCAGTTAGGGTTTTTGTAGATTCCAAGAAATTGACCGAATCTAATTCTTCATGGAAGTAATTTTGAGGTAAAAAACAAAACAAAACAAAAACAAAAATTAACAAAAAAAACTACGAGTGAACGAGATAAGAATCTCATTTTACTTCTGTAGCTTATAACATCTAGTTCATTATCGATTAAAACTTCATATTTTAGACGAGCTCAGGTCTCGGCGTTAAAAGCAATATTTACCGCAGGTGTTTCAGGTACCAATGTCCATTCTGCAGTAGTTAATAAAAAGAAAGTAGAAGAGTTTAAGTAAACAAATCATTATTCTTGCGTTCTTCGCTAGCAAACGGAGTGATTTTTCATTTCGCTGAAAGACCATTACACACAACATATTTTCAAAAGGCGGATACTTTTTGTCGCTAAAAAGTAACTCAAACGGCTACAATTTATTATAAACTGTCACAGAATGGCAAGGCTGTCATGTAAATACAAATGTACATCAAAAGGTGTTTTTTTCTTTAATGACAAACCTAAAAAAACTAACAGCATCGACAAATGGTATCTATTCCGTTTCTTGCAAGACGGCTTTCCGTTACGTATTTAAAATAGCGCAAAAGATTCTTACCTTTTATTCACTATAAGAAAGTTATTATAAAGAATACTTTGCTTTTTATGAAGAAGGAAAAGAAAATTAAGTACCGCACAATGATAGCCGATTTTTCAGAAGCTTGCATCTAATCCAACAGGAATTAAAACAAGAATATCGCCAAGGTGACAAAAAAATTCAATCCTATATTATATACATATATACATATATAAAAAGCCAGCAAAGGTGCTCAGCAACAATTTTCTTTTAACTTTGCAACACTTTGTTTTGGTTGGGAAAGTGAGAGCTTTGAGAATGTTTCATTTAACAACACGTTTGGGGGAAAATTAGGCTCAAACCACGTGATCGATGCTTTTAAGTGAACAAGCGCGAAAGTGGGTTTCCAAGGAATAAAGTAACTCCATGCGGCTGTGTAATAAACAATTTGTCACGCGGTTGGAAATTTTACTCAAGACAAAGGAGTTTAAATAATGAAGCTATGATAAAACAAGAACAAACGGAGCATGTGGTAGACGCGGAGTCTTCCCTTCTCAGAAACAAATATAATATGTCAATATTAACAGTAAGAACGGCTATCCAGGGATAAATTATGCGAAGGAGATTAAAATTACATACGACATAAACATTTGAACCTCACATTTAAATTGAAGTACCGAGTTAAATTGCGGTACACCGCATTTTTGGTCTTAATTAACAAGTAACTTGTCAAGAATCTTTATTAACAGAAGTAGAGGTTCGACTTTATGGAATAAAACCCGTCGGCTATATACATTTTCCAATGCTTTTTAGAGAAGCTGATTTCTTTGACTTAGGGTCAGCTGTGTTGATGTAAGGAATTCAATTTTGGCGTTCTTTTTTTCAAGCATAACTTAAAACAAAGGCAACGAAGCAAACAAAAAGTGCATCATTATAATTTATGAAATTTGAGGCACGAAAAATACAAAAAAATACCAAATTTCCGGTAAATGTTTACAGCAATGTATCACCGAAACCTTTAAAAACGCTTTAATTTTAACTTACAACACAAACCACTACGGAATGCTAACTTTTTTCCATTTGCAGTCCTAATTAGCAAGGATATCAAACAACGAAAACCCGCAATACACAAAAGCTTGGAAAATCTTCCCCGTGTTTAGAATCACGACTCGATCTTTAACATACATACTGTACTGGAATAACAAACTTCATAACCGGTCTCAAGAATTTCTGCGATAAATCTTTCAGTTCCGTAATTAGAATATGAGGGGAAAAAGTCAGTTTTTTTGATATGAAAAAGCTGACAAAACGACAGCTAAGTTGACGGCGTTCGCTTATTATTAAAAAATGAATTCTGTTGGCAAAAAAGCGTTACCGAAAAAACGTACCTTATCTCGGTCAGTAACCACAGCCCCCAATTCAAGAAGCTTTTCGACAATGTTGTGTTTGTTGTCGCGGGCTGCTAACATCAACGGCGTAAGACCGTTGTCCTGTTAAAAGAAGAAATAAAATTGAAGTGAAAGCGTTAGTAAACTAGTCCGCGCTGGAATCGTTTTGTGAAACCATGCAGTAAAGCAGCAAAAAATAACCAACACGCACTTTTGGAATTTTAGAGAGCATGTCAGTTTTAGCAAAAAGTGAAAGAAAAAACACACGGCCCCTTGCTACAGACGATTATACGAATTAAGAACTGTGCAATCAGCAGTCAACACAGTACGGCTTAACTATTCATGTTACAGCCAGTTCAATATTCATTATTCCGATGCCTTAGCCGATTCTGTTGTCCATGGAGACTCTTTTAAAGGCCGCCAGTTAACTAAATTAAAAAAGGCATTTGCCTTTTTTTTTTTTGTTGGCCGAGAGTCTAAAGAACAAAACTACAGAAACGTTTATAAGAAATTGACCACATAGAAAATGTGCCTTGTTGAATCAGTAAATCTGTTTTTAGTAAGCACGACTGTGAGCCAAACAGTAGCCCCAAACGAAGAAATATTTAAAGCGACTAGCTTCTGTCTTCTAAGACTGGCTGCGATAAAAACCTATCAATTCACGAATTTGGCACGTCAATAAACTGCTTGAGCTCTCTAATCATTGTTTCGTTGGGAGCAAAAAATATATACTTTTCGAAGCTTAGACCCAAGAAGTATATTAATTCTCTTAAAATGTAAGTTTAATGCACCAGGAAACAGTTTCAGCAGCATGGACCACTCTGAATGTAACAACTTTAGCTAGATGCAAACATATTTAATGCTGCCTAAATTCTACGATCTAGACAACGTTGTCTCACGGCAACGTATTTATCCTGTATAAATGAATTTAAACGAGTTTCTATTCACATAAAGCGACTTCCCAGGATAAATGATTATGCCGCGAAAATGATATCTTTCCAATCTCAGAAATCCAGACCAATTGTAAAAGATGATTATAAAAAGAATGCCTCCGTTCTAAGTTCTATGGCGGTCAGTTGGTTTAGAATGAAGACTCTTGAGATTTCTTGTTTAAAAACTATTAAGTATAAAAAATTTAAGGAAAAACGACAGAGAAATAAGAGGTAAATTTTTGTTAAGAAAAAAAACACTGCCTCAATATTGAGATGATGAATAGGCATTTTTGAGTCGGAGTTTCAATTGATGTTTCATTAATCTGATTCGGTTAGTATTATGCTGCTTTGTTACACTCTGAATCAATATATCCATCTTTACTTCGATTTCTGTTGATGATATTTCCATGTTGTTTCGTTCCAGATTATTTAGGTGCTGATCCACTGCAGGCCAATCTCCTTTCACGGAGAGCGCTAGGACGCGGTTAAGAATCTCCCATCTTAGAATAGACGGTGGCGTCTTGGTATCAAATAACACTTTAGAGCCCCTCCGAGACTGCGCCAACGGTACTGAAGATCCGTCTGATCCTGGACTGGGTGGTCGAAGAGACTGCCGACGGCTTGAAGGGTTTCCTCCCGGTACGGAGCTTCTAGAAAACATTATAGCTAACTAGCTCGATGCCATCAAACTGAGGGCGAAATTCCCAACACGCTTGCCAGCTCACTTCCACCGCTGTCTAAAAAATTCTTTCTCTCGCCTTGGTGATTATTTTTAGACTCTTTGGCAACAGTGCATTATTTTGGGAAATGGTCGCCAGCTACTCATCTTTCGACCGAGGCGACAACCCAAAACGTGTGTCAACGATGATTAATTATTCGAGACGGAGTTATTTAAATGCGCATGCGTCTATTAGCACCTATGACTTAAGGCGGTTTATAGCAAGTGGTACCTACCTACCCTTTACGGCTGTTTTTGTTTATTTTTTTTGAAGCCAAAAACTTTTAATGAGAAAAAAAATGTCCTACTACAATTAAAACTTAACATAGGATTCACTAAAACCATATTACTCTTGTTGATTTTCTTGCCTAATATAATTTCATTCCAAACTGAGTCTATCGTGGTGAGCATTAATGAAACAATAAAAAGACCCACTTGTTCGTTATCTCAGCAAGTTTCCGATTTATTTGCATAAGAAAAGGATGCTGCAACTTTTTTGACATTTTAGATCTTTTGAGGATGTCAGGATTAGTTCAAATGATAAGATAAGGGTGAGTTGCTCGTTTTATTGTGTCCGCGTTTCGGGAAAACAGCTGCGTAAATATGAGGTGTGACATAGAGACCAAGATAATGAGCAGTAATGATTTATTCATTAAATTGAGAAAAAAATACTCTTTTGCATACAAGTCGGTCAGTGAAACATGTCTGTTAGAAACTTTAATTTCTCAAAAAGCGCCATTCTCGCCTGCCACCGATAATAAATGACCCCCGAAATCATAATTTAAAAGATTCAACAGATATCGTTGAAGATGGGACAGATATCGTTATCAGGAAGACGGACCAGAAGGGTTCGCCGGTTCTCCTAACGTATAGATAAAAGACCCAATTTATGCACCACAGAAACAGTAAGCATGAAATCTATCTTTCATTTCGATGATCAAATAAGTTAAGCCACTATTGTCTGTAAGGAACTCAAGCAAACTTATCTGCAGACTGATAAACAGACACTTTTCATCTGATGAATATCAAATACTAACAATAAAACAGGCAACAATAAAATAAAAAGAACATTGCTTCGCAAAAAACATCCTTGGTTCTGAGAACCATCGTGAGCAGATAAATGCGATTCGTGTTCCTTAATGTTCAAATCATTTGTTTTCCGTGCAAAGCATGCCTCTGTGTTAAGCTGTATTAGGCTTCATGGACGTTATGATATCTAATGCTTCATAACGTTATGGCTCATTTTGCGTTTAGCGATTGATTAATGAACATCATACCTATAATACAAACGTTCGGTTGTTCAGTGAATTTCCATAAGCCTCCTTCATTTATATTACACTGTCAGTGAAGTTAACGACTTGTTAATAAGACTCGAATTCACTTTCGTATTAAATGATATAAATGGCCCCTCCCTTCATATATTACACTAACGTATTATCATGTCTTCATTAGATGCATTTCAGTCAAGATTCTGGCAGGAAAAAAACCTGTCGCACTAGTGCCAGGCGTAACGTACGAGATGTTTTTTTAATATAACTAAGATCAAGTCAGGTCTGCTGAACATTCCGGCATTCACCTTATAATTATTTTCTTAAAATGCTATAGGACCAGTCGTAAAGAAAAGAATCATATTGTTAAGACATTGTGTCACTGTTAGTAGACAGAATATGACCATCCTAGTTGTAGCTACACCATATTTGTCGTTACCAAGTGTCAATCAAATTAACAGCAGCCGGTCTACATACAAGACTCTGCATCCGATCAATTCTGTAGCAGAAATCTTCGCACGTTTTTAGAAATTTGTTTCGAAATTCCGTAATTGACCGAACACATTGAAAAGGCTTCGAAGAATCATCGGGAAACTTCGGAGACTACTCGGCATTACCTAAACTTCTTTCGTAAGACGCATTTAGCTACTAAGAGATACGATATTTAGGATATCTGACTCTTTCGCTCCGCTCATCCGTTAAATGTGGAGGTAAACTCTCAATAAGAAATTTCTGATCTTACCAAATCCCTATGTTATACCCCATATCTATATAGTACTGTATCTAGAAATAGTACAATCCTGTTCGTCGTTAGACTATGTAGTTTGTATGACTTTTGTCAGGAGAAAATTTTTTCCTATTGATTTATGAGTTGCCACTAAGTCAAAACCTTTGACGATCAGCAAGATACTAGTTATAAGTTCACACCCTAATGATCTTATGCTTAAGCACATTAAAAGACACAAATAAAACAAACAAATAACAGCAAAATAAGCAACTTACTTCATTACACAGCAAAGATATCCCTCCCAAGTATTCCGAATCGCTTATCCACCCACCGTGCGGGCGACAACTTATTGAACCGGAACGAGACCGACTTGTTGGTATTGCAGGAAACTCCATGGTAAATATGCCTTTCTAAGGCTACGGTTTGCAGCGCACTTCTCTGTTTTTTTTTAAAAAACCTCCGTTTGATAGAAAAATTTAATAAAATGACGGATTATACAAGAAAATGGTGAGTAAATCTCTTCGGAACCGATAACTAAATACAGTACTTTTCCACAGAAACATATGCTTTTCTGATAAATAATTGACTATCCAATAATCGGGACTCTAATTTGACGACGAATTAAAGTGAGTCGTTTTTGAATCAACCTCGTAATGACTATTGTTAAAATGCCACTAAATATAGGTTCAAAAGAAAACTTTGACAATATTTAGACTAAAAATGGAGGAACAAGCTGGCATCAAAAATTAAACGAAAACTTAGTTTGACACATTCGCAGCCGTACAAAACAAGGATTTATCAAAAGAACTTTTCGTTTTAACCGAACACAATTGTCGCTAATAGCATCTGCGAAAAGGTGTTTAGCAATGCATGAAAATAATGGGCAAAACAGTGAAGCTAACATAAAATCATATTCTTCTTTGAACAAAACATAAAGGGGAAAATAAACTAAAACGGGAAAAGGAAGAGGCAGACTTTAGGTTCGCTGCATGAGTTAAGTAAGGAATAACATGGGATGAACTTTGTCTTTCACGAACGTTTCGGACTCACTATCGTTGTGGAAACATTAATTCAAATTAAGAACGACCTTGGATCTACTTGACTGAAGGTGCTTAATATTTCACATGTTTTGGGTTACGTTCTAAGTGAGAGAAGAGAAAAAAACTATTGAAGTTTTCGGAGATTTGCATTACAGGAAGCCCTAAATTGACCGCCGTTTAGAATCTACTTAACTCTGCATCACGACCGACCTAACTAGTGCTACAAGGATTTTTTGAACTGCTGAGGCTTTCTTGACCAGGTACTGGATTGCCAGAAAGTAAGATAAGTGATAGTAAGTTTTTAAATGAAACCAGAGCCTTTTTGTTTTAAACAAATAGCTAAAAAAAACGTGATGTTTTCCTAGCGACGACCAACCGAGAGACTTTTAACTACGCAAGTTTAATGAACAAGGTCAGACAGGTGCAAGTCATTTTTTTAAAATTATAATGCTTATTATGTGATCAAAATTCAAATTAACTACTCCAATACCGAGTTAATACGGAACACAATCACTTTGTACAAACTCTTCTCAGCTTGTCGTGTTTTACTCAATTTACATTCACCCTGGCGTCGTGTTATAAAACGCCCACTGGCGACTGATTCAGTATGTGAAGATTTTTGTTGCCTTGCTCCAAAATCCTAAATTAGAGGCCTTTTTCTTATATTTTACCTCCACGGTCCCTTCACTCTCTTTCTCTTTAACCTAACAGTTAGGCTTTTTAAGCTTGAGACTGTTAGCCGAAAGGGTTTCATACAATATTGTTTGCCCAAAATGTCGTACGGTAATCCCTTTAGCGGCGTGCTCTTGTTAAGTTTGAATTGTAGTTAAATTTCTCTTATACTTCAGACCTTGGCCAGATAGTTTCCTCTGGTTTTGTAAGGTGGCGCTTGTGTGTTATCAGTCTTCTTAGATCTACACATGACTGTGCCAAAGCACTGGATGAGAAAAATCAGATTACAGCACGGCATTTGGCTATGTATCATTTAACTGTTTGCTGAGGGAGTTGTTTGCTGTTGGTGTATTAAAGAGGGAATTTGCTATCCTGGTTAATAGAATCTACTTGACAGATCGCTGGTACAGGAGAATTATTGATGGACAGTCATCTACTTGGCAACCTGTTTTGTCTGTTGTACCTCAAGGGTCCATTTTGGGGCCGTTCTTGTTTATCACCTATATAAACAGTGCCCCAAGTGTTACTGACGCTAGAAGTACTACAGTTCCGTTATATGCAGATGACATGAAATGTTATAGAATAATTACTGATTATTCTGATGAAAAAAAAGTGTAAGCAACTTGCTATTACAAAGAGAAGGAATATCCTTCAGACGTCATACACAGTGTCATACAATCTGAACAGATCGCGAATTACAGATGTAACAACTGAGAAAGATCTTGGTGTCCACATTTCCTCAACACTATCATGGAATGATCATATTGACCTTATCATCAGTAGAGCAAATAAAATGCTTGGCGTTATTTATAGAACGTGCACTAATGAATGTGACCAATTAACTTTGTTGACCGTTTGGTACGTCCACAATTAGAGTTCGCTTCACAAGTCTAAGTCATCTTACACTAAAGGAAAAATCATCGCCATAAAGCGCGTTCAAAGTCGCGCAACCAAACTTATTTTGAAGTGTGACTTTACAATACCTTATCCTGAACGTTTAGTCAAATTAGGTCTTTTGCCTCTCGAGTTTAGAAGAGAAGTTTTAGATTTATGTTTTTTTTCAAATGTCTTTGTGGACATATTGACTTTGACGTATGTTAGTTTCAAGTCCTCTAGGTATAGCATGGGAAACTCAGAAGCAGAACTTTCCAAGGTTCGCTTTAGAACAGATGTTTTTAAATTTTCATTTTTTAATCGCATTGTAGATTTATGGAATGGCCTTCCTGTAGCCATAAGAATAACTGATCAGTTATCTTTGTTTAGTAACAATATATTGATAACTAATTCCAATAAGGAAAGATTTTTATTTATTTTTTTTTTTTAACTATTTTTAGCATAGGTGATTTTCTATTCTATCTAATAAGCTCATAAACAAATACCAATCGCTTCGTCGAAATTTAATTAGGATTAGAATTTTCTTGTATATAGTTTTTTATATTTTATTGTTTATTCTAGGCAGTTTACTCTTACTTGGAATCCTCGTGTTCTGTATAAACTGTCCTAATTATACAGATATCACTTTTATAATATTTGGTTTTCTTCGATTTTATAGCGAAATTCGTTGTTTCGCGCTGTGAATTTTGCAAACTTCAAACATATGGATTACTGGGTTTTTCTGTTCCGTCAATCATCTTAGCAGACCTCTTAGGAAACACACGTTTAATTGCACGAGTTCAAAAGGTCATGGTTTGTGATTCGTGATTTTGTGGATTTCGATCGTGATTTTGTTTCGTGTTTCAAGGTTCGTTGCTTTGTGATCGTCCTGTTTCGGGCAATAATCGACTAGTTATAAAGTTTGCGTCCTGCCTTCACTAAAATGATTGACGGAACAGAAAAACCCAAAATCCCTTCGAAGTTTGCAATACGCGCAGCCTGATACAACGAATTTCGCTGTAATTCTGTTATTTTGATTATCCGTGTAATGAATTGAATAAATAAATAAATAAATAAATAAATTTGCAAATAATATAAATAAATAAGAAAACAAATAGATAAACCCTTTACCAGAGAACGTTTTATATTTAAGATGCGTTAAGCATGCTTTGTCTCAAAACCGTTGGCCAATTAACTGAATTAATCATAAAGTAGGGCAAAAAGCGACAATCTGTAGATGCCATCAAAAGCAGTTGAAACCTGATCGTTTTAAAGATAGCAGAAACCAGGCCACTGCACGTTCAGCCAAGCAGCAACAAATAACTGTAACGTTTGTTTTGCCGGTGAGGCACGCATGCGCAACAAACTATCACCTCTGCTTCCCTGTGGCCACAGAGAACAGGTTAACAATTCGGTCTATTGCAGTCTTTGCTGAGATTATAAGGCGTGCGATACATGCATGTTTTAAGTCGATAGTGAATGTAGAGGGTAAATTTCAGTTGTTGCATATTAACCCTGTAATATCCCTCCCATCGACCTGCTCTTCAGTAGCGTAGCCCACAAGGTAAGAAAAGCAAACAAATTGAGTTACTGAAAATACACACCTCCCTTGCCACCCATAACGGTGAAATTACCCAGGGCCCAGTTGTTCGAAGGCCGATTAGCGCTTAACCCGGGGTTAAATTTAACCCGGGTTTCTCTTTCTTGTGTTCAAAAGCATTTTCTCGGATAATTTTCTCTGTTATATTTAGAGCTTTCAATCATCAACTTGTAGACCAAAAGAATTAAAACTGAAGCGTTTTTTAAGTTTTCAAATTTGAATTCAAATCTCGCACTAACCCTGGGTTATCTAAACCCGGCTTTGAACAACTTGACCCAGGTGTTTATATTCCGGGAATCTATCTGTAATAGTCACCTTAATAATAATAATATTTATTGATTTGTATTGCGCAAATATCAATCCAGGGAAAGAAATTTTCATCTGCGCATAACATCGACTCAACAAAATCCTAAAATCCTAGTACATATTCCAAAAACAAAATTTACAGATCGTTCCTAAAAATTAGTAAAAATAACAATTTAAAAAAAAAATTAATCTTTAAAATCCTATATACAAATCCTTCTTAATAAAGAGAATAAAAACAATAAATTAGCTGGGAAACGCCTTCTGAAATAAATGAGTTTTAAGAGCCTTCTTGAAAGCATTAACTGAAGATATATTTCTAATAAAAAAGGGAAGATCGTTCCATAATTTAGGGGCAGCCATATAAAAAGATCGATCACCAAGCGTGGAAAGAGACTTGCATGGTGGAATGTTAAGAAGTTTGCCGTTATTTGATCTAAGATAGTACCTACCCCCTGTGTCTTTCGGTGATACAAGTTCGGAAATGTAAGTCGGAGCAAGTTTATGAATGACCTTAAAAGTTAACAATAAAATTTTAAAAACAATGCGATATGCTACGGGTAACCAGTGTAGGGCTCTGAGCAATGGTGTAATATGACAAAATTTACTTTCGCGAAATCAGGGAATTTTTTTTTTCACCTTGTTATCAGGGAAGCGACTGTTTTCGAGACCAACCTCGTAATATTTCTTTGTTTGTAGGGAATGGGAATGCACGTCTATTTATGATTGATAACCTAGATGCTGCCATACTATAATCTACACAATTTTTATACTAAGAAGCAGGTTTATATTGAAATGTAATGGAACAAGCGACCGCTATGAAGTATTTTGACTCTTAACCGACCTGGTCAAGTTGCCTGTTTATTATCGACAAACTACTTTGAATACAAATTGAACTTTTTACACGGGGGCGAGGAAAGGCTCTTTTGCAAGATCCCTAACATTGCAGTGATTTAAAATTCATCGGATAAAATTCTTGATACTGTGTCGTTGTTCATGAATTAGTGAGCAGAAAAGTATCTAGAAAACCGTAAACCTTGCCGTTTGCGGCATAAAAGAATAATGACACTTCTTTTAAATCTTAACGAGACAGAAGAGTCAATAATTTCAATTAACCTAAATCAAATGTGCACACACTTATCGACTAACTCAAACGTTACATCTCTTATTGGACAAGGTAATACATCACTGAAACTTCTTAAAATTACTACTCAGTAGTTTTAAATAAAGGACATATGTCACTAGAATTAAGTTTCTTATAAGTCAAAGCTGCAGGAAACACGTAAGAGCTAAGGTCATTAAGGTAAGTCCATGACACAAAATCACACTACGATGGAATAGCATTCATTCTATTCAGTCCGACGAATTGAAAAGTATGAACTTCTAGAACAACATCTTTTTAGTGAAGAGCTTACTTTGAGCTAAGTAATAAACGGAAACTATTTCGTACCTTTTCGTCCTGTGTCAAGTCATCTTCAGTCATTGCAGCCGGAACTGCTGAGCCTCGTCTTGCTGAGAGGTAAACTTTCAGCGCTGATTCAGAGTTGAGCGTCATTTTCTTATTGAGTCCCGGTTTATCGACCGTTGAAGGCATAACTGACAGCAAAATAGCCGTTCACATGAACGAATGTTTAACCAAGACGAAATAAAAATGAATGGTTGATTCGACTGATTTGTGAGCTCCAGAATGACTATAAACCAAATGAAGTTCGCGGCTAGGATACCGGCGGCGTACAAAAAAGGTAGCTTTCCGGCGTTTACGATACAGTAACTTCGATCTTAACTTTGTTACTCATAATTCGACAAAAGTTGGAACAGAAAGGACACCGCAGAAAGCAGCCCCTACCGGGCCAACATCGACTAAAGTTTGATTCCTTAATTCACGAGATTAAATTTTGACTGTCCTTTCTTCGCGACAAACCAGGTCATATTGGGTTAAAACCCCAAAGATTCATAAACGGATATATTTGATTAGGAAGGTCACTTAAATTTATTTGCATTGAAATTTAATTAAACTAGGCGGACAAAAATCTTTACAGCTAATTGAGGTTTTATTAACATAGCTGGAGGGAACTTTTATACAGACAGATCTTTTAAGACAAAAAAAGACTTTTCGCTTGACACTACAAATAGAAAGTTTTTTTGTTCTTGTTACTTTAAGTAAGCAGATGCTTACTTATGCCGTTGACCCGTTTTTGAATAGTTTTACGATTACAGGGCTCTGACCCTAACAACAGCAAACATTACTAAACCTCAGTAAACTAATTTGCTCATCTCTCTTCTTTTGCGGTGCCGCTGCCGCTGCCGCTTATATTTTGTCTATTAATGCTGCTTTTGTTCAGGAATACCAAAACCCCGAGTGCAAAGTCCTGATCATAGTACTAGTCCTGATTTTATTTTCCAAACACTCGGCAGATTCGCTTGATCACGGCAAGATTTGCGGATGTTAAAAATTCAAGCTAGACTGCAAAACAGTCGGGGTTTTTTCTCAAAATCAGTAAAGAAATCGCCCAGTATCGCTCTCTGTTTTCAGCCTCGTTGCCAACCTTTTGTTTGACTGCTAGCGCGTAGGTACTTGAATACGGAAAAATACGGGCTGATTCGAGGGATTGTTTTATTGTGGAGCCGCTAAAACCTCTTTTCTCGGTCATCACACCTCAATCTATGAGCAAACGTGACGAGACGCCTTCAAACAAGCCACAGAACTTGTTCACCCGACACGCGTCTCGACTCTGTGGCCCAGCGGCGCGGTGTAAAGAGCAATTTCTGGGGTATAGGTTGAAATCATGCACTTCGCGGCGGACTAGGTTAGTTTTTCTCTTTGTCACACGCTTGTGATATGACAGAAAGTACACGTTTCTCAGGTCTAAAGAAAGTAAACCATCAGACAGTTTTATCACTTGTCTTATATAATAATAATAGTAATAATAATAATAATAATAATAATAATAATAATAATAATAATAATAAGAAGAAGAAGAAGAAGAAGAAGAAGAAGAAGAAGAAGAAGAAGAAGAAGAAGAAGAACAATAATAATAATTTTTAACCAAGAGACTCTCTCAAAAGAGTGATTTTCAGAGAGGTCCTGAAAATGAAAATATAAAATATAAAAAGATAAAAAGAAGCGTAAAACGATAAAAAGCCAAAAACAAAATTTTCTTCACTAAAAACCTAAATGATCACAAAGAAATATAAAGAGATTATAAAATTAGCGCTAAAAAGTCACAAAATCATTTGATTTTCTTAAAAGATATAAAACTGATCAGAGTTTAACAACATTGAAAATAATTATAAAAATTACGTTTAAAAGACTCGAGGTTATTTGATTTCCTTAAGCACAGATCTTGACTGTTCCAGTCTTTAACAGCTTGACAATGGGTCCTTTGTTTTCCCCAGTTTCTTCTTACACGGGGCAGTCTCAAGTTATCTTTGTGACGTGTATTGTAGCCGTGTACATCTTTATTTGCCAACAGATCCAAACTGAGGGCTGAGATCTCATTAACACATTTATAAACGTAAAAGCAACGATGAAAAAGTCTGCATTTCTCCAAGGTTAACCAACCAATGGCTTCAAGCGCGCCGGTAACAGATGAATGAAAAGGTCGAAAAGGGCGGTCTAATATAGTTTTGGCAGCCTTGTTGTGCAGGAGTTTTAAATTGTTTATGAGAACTACATTGTCCTTGTCCCCTCAAACAATGTCGACATAATCAAACATCGGGAGAATGAGAGTGTTAAAGAAAAGAATACGCGCACTACGTGGAAGCAAACTCTTAATTATCATTAAAAGCCATAAGCGTTGATTTATCTTCGTGGAAACATATCAGTTCAATATGCTCCGTTGAGGTAAAATTTGAGGACCAAGTTACACCCAAGTACTTAAAGTGTCCAATGCCCTCAACTTCTTTGTCAAATACTGAGACAGATATAGCAGTAGCAGCACGCAATTCGCGACCTCTGCCGATAAGCATGGACTTGGTCTTCTCTATGTTAGGTGTAAGCTTGTTTCGATTCAGCCTTTTAGCTATTCTCGACAGATCATTCGTTAAGAGCATTCTCGAGATCTTTTATGTTAGAGGAGTAGCGATACAAAACAGTATTGTCCGCATAAAGGAATACGCTGCAGTCATTGACAGCAGTAGGCAAGCAATATATGTAAACAAGGAAACGTAAGGGCCCCAGGCACCCTTGTGGTACACCATAGGTAACAGATAGAGGATCGGAGATTTCGCATGAGGTGATCTGCTTCCTATGACTGAGGTAGGATTGAAACCACGGAACAACATTAGGATTTAATCCCAAGGAAGATAACTTGGCGAGCAGGATACTGTAATCCACAGTATCGAAAGCCTTTGAAAAAATCCAAGAATACAGCTCCATAGAGATTCCAGCGCTCCATGTTTGAGAACGTCAACAGCAAAATTTACTAGAGCAGTAACCATCGAGTGGTTTGGTCGGAAACTAAATTGCTTGTCGGTCAACAAGTGGTTAGTGTTCAGGTAATCAAAAAGTTGGCAGTGAACAGCTCTTTCGAGAATTTTGCTCCGAGTTAACAAAATTGATATCGGGCGGTAGGTGGATGCGTTAATCTGGTCACCTGATTTGAATAGAGCTGTAACCTTGGAATATTTCCATATTTCAGGAAACCTACTTGTGCGAATAAATTCATTTAGTAATTTGGTGACTGACGAACATAACGAGAAAGACGCACATTTCAGCATTCTTGCACTGATTCTGTCCAAACCAATCGCTTTGTTGGGCTTAAGGGAAAGCAATTGCTTCAAAACAAACGATTCATCTATCTCTTTCAATCAAAAGAACCGACCTGAACTTCTTTAGGCTTCGAAAAGTTTGAGCAAAAGCAGCTGAATATATCGTCTGTCTTCCCAACTGAGACAAAAAATGAGTCTAAGGCCGTGGCGATAGCTTTTGGATCTGTGTGTTGCACTCCGTTAGAAACTATACAATGAGGCGTGGAACATTTAGAATTACAGGAAACCTCGTTAATAGCTCTCCATATCTTAGTCGAGTCGCCTTTACTCTCCTCAATTAACTCACAGCAATATTTTGATTTGGAAGACTTAATTTCTCTGTTGACAGAATTTCGTAATTTCCTGAACATTTGATGCAAATGTGAGTTCAGCTTTGATATCTAGTTCCTTTTCCGCATGGCCCACCCACTCAGCGCGATTAGCTTTTGCCATTTCTGTAGGGCTGTGCTCTCTTTTTTTCACTACCTCGTTCCCAGGTTCTCTCTCCTATTGTTTTTTTCCCAATTATTTCCTTTTAATGTATTTACACTTTTTGTATCAAGAGCACAATAAAGATTGTTATTGTTGTTGTTTCTTATAGGGCCCCTTTTTTTTCCCTACCCTTTTCCTCAGATCTTTTTAGTTACTCAACGGAAGACAATCCAGGTAATTTTACCCCCCAAACCCTGCACTCTTTATCACGTGCGCGCAGGCGTAGATCCGTTTGAGGGTTCGCAGACAAAAATGGTAGTGCATCATGTTTAGAACTACCCGACAAAGTGTAGTGAATCAAACCTCACTCAAGCGTACAGTAGAAAAGTTTAGCAAAAAAGCGAATTGTCGGCAGAAATGAATAGAATAGTTTCAGCAACTATCTTTAGAATCAACATAACAAGAGAACAGTACACGACATAAGAAAGAGGTCACCTTATTACAGAGGTGCCTTGAAATGAGAGGTTTGCTTGCGGTTCAACCTTCAACCATCGCAGACATGCAGCGCCAGTGTACCCCCGGTAATAACGCAATCCAGAGTTAAACTTCTGTGTTATATAATTGCCACGTTAACGTTGTGCTTGAAAACAATTTATGTTAACAGAATCAAACAAATGTAAGAACACAAACAAATAGAAAACAAGATATAATTAAGAAGATTGCACGGGTTTCAGCACAGTGTAACCTGGCTTTTTCTTCGTGATAAAGCTGCATACAAATGCGCTTTGGGTCTTAGCAGATCATCGGGAAATCACCGTCGAATCAGTTAAAAATACCAGAAGAATCATTCAGGGTATTTTTGTCAATCATCCTGAAAACGTCGCAGTAAAATCATTTTGAAGCACTAAAATAAAGCTATCTTACCTTTTCCTCGTCTGTAAGAGTGCATATATATGCTGATCCATCCTGCTCCATAAAGAACGTCACGTTTCTTTGATTCTTCGTCAATTCGTTCAACTTCCTACCAGCAGTCACGGCGTTGCTGATGGTTCGAAACTTTTGTGACATATTTTTGGAATTATTAACTTGCTTGTAATCTGTCAGCAGCTGAAAATTGATTCACTTGCAATTGAAGACAAAGAAGTTGCCCTGCTGAGTCGAAAGTTACCTTTCACTTTTTCCTCGTTTTTACGTTCCTCTTAAACTGGATAATCTGAACTGAAAAATGAGTAAGCGCTGAAGATGTACCTCAAAAATGAAAGTTTGGCAAAACCGATCGATAGCGCATTTTACATTCTCATTTTCTCCTCAAGAATGAAAATCTCCTCTAAATCCTGGGTCCGAAAGTGATCTTGACGGAACATTAATACGTGC